GGGCCTTCCGGAAGGCCCTATTTTAGGTCATTTTTACAATAAATTTTCACAGTACTATATAGCAGAAAAACTTCTTAGTTTTTCAGCTTTGAATAGTTCATTAAAGGTTATTTACAGACACTTAACAGCTACTGCACATATATAGTTTTTATTAGTCTGCTCAACTATTGAAAATAAGAACTTTTTGTCACCTATGAAAATTTTTATATATTTTTCAAAAATCGCAATTATGGGCAACCCAGGTATTAATCGAGGCACTTTTTTTTACTGTTTTGCAAGTTTCTATAGATTTACAACAATTGCAATGTGATTGGAATGAACTGCTACCACTCGATAATGTCGTAAATTTTGTATAAACATGTAGACAAAAGGGCCTTCCGGAAGGCCCTATGTTTTTTTTACACTATTCAACTATTTTGACCAAATTGAAGAATACAGGGCTTTAAATGAAAGCAATAAAAGTTGTAGTTGCAAGCCTGGCGATTACCAGATGACATAGTCATTATTTTGTCTTCCTATCTCCAATTATAAGCAAGTTACCTAGTTTATTGATCAGAATATTAGATTAGTTTTTGTTGTTCCGGTGTCAAAAAATATTTTCTTCGTAATTGCAGGTACTTTTTTTTGCACGAGGCATGATTTCATGTTGGTTACTTGATTTATTGAGAAACAAAATGCAATACAGAATGTTTAATGATATATAAAAGTTGGACATTACTACAGAAAATGTTAGGGCCTTCCGGAAGGCCCTACAAAAATAATCAGTTATATATGTCGATGTGGACCTTTAATATTGAGAGGAAAGCCTGTTTTTTCGAAGGGAAGCCAAAATTAAACACAAATTATCATTTTATGTTATTGATTAACATAATAAATATATTTAGGTTGAGTTTAAGCTATACAGAAGGATATTTCAAATTTAAAAATTGATCGCTACTACATACAGTATCATTATAATTTGTGCTTGGATGTGGTTTCTGGGTTGATACTTTTCAAGTTTTTAGAGAAACCTAGAGTGAAATTTTATGATATTACATTGTGAATTGTGTTATAATATTACAGTGTGTGAAATAGACTATAAAGATTTAAGACCTGGAGTTTCAGATGAAGAGAACATAGAAAGAACTTAAGATTCGACTTAGGAAATTACTTCGAGCACAATGCAGAGAGTAGCTTTGGTTTGAATGAATGAAGAACAACCAAACAGCAGTTTAGGTAGCAACCAAAAAAGACTGAGAGTTAGGATTCTGAAGTTGAGAAAGAGAGGGAAGTTAGTGAATGTGCTGAGTGCTTTCTTAGCATGCAACATAGACAGTGAACTAACAGAGATGAATGTATTTTCATTCTCAGACGAAGAAAGTGACAGTCTGATTAATAAGACATAGAGTCTGATTAAGACATGGATACAATCCCCTTACAGCAGAGAACGATAGGCAAAGTGGAGACAGAGCCTTAGGATGAATTATTAATGGTATAGTAAGTTGCCCATCCAAACTTCCAAATTTTTTTGCAGATAGATTTGATAAAAGGATAATTTTAACTAGCTAGAAACAAAATGAGAATGGCACTCTGGAAATATCCCTAGACTGCAAGTAGCAGAAACTTATTTGAAATATGTCACTCTCATCATTATAATGTGGGTACTGGATCCTTTGGATCCTTCTAAGATGCGTAACTAATGCGCTCTTGTGACCACTGTCAATTTAGAGCAACATGGGTTTTCTACTAATAAATGCTCATCTTTGGATGTTATATTTCATTAATAAAGACAACATATCAATTAAATCTTGCATGATATTCTTTACATGGCGAGCAAACATTTCAAATTCAAAATTTTTATTGTCCAAGTAGGCGCTGACTTTCAATGAGTGATCGTCTTTCATTTACTGAAAATTAATGCCCAGCTGTCATTTGGGGAACACCTTCCTGCCATCAAAAACGAAAAATGTTTCTTTCTTTTCAGATAACATGGCTTAAAATAATATTACTTATTTATTTGATAGTGGTACATTCTCTAATTACTGATATAGAAGGTTTTTAGGTTTCCAGATACCGGGTCTTAGGGCCTTCCGGAAGGCCCTTTTCAAGAAAAATTTTGAAAGGGTCTCCCATCCATCATGTTGTTTGTGTTAGTATTAATTTTCGAAGTTTTTTTTGGTATTAGGTATTTGTGTTCTGGGTTTTTAGAGAAAAAAATGTACCTAACTGAATATAGTTAAACAATAATCCCTCTTATAAAACTGATCGTTTAAAATTTTTGATGAAAAATTTATAATTTACAAAAAAAATTGTATTTGCGCTTTTTTCTGTTAGCAAATTTAGTTTTTCAGTGCAACAACATGATACAAGAAATTCATAAACATGAAAAAATTAGATTAGTTTTTTTATCTGAGAAATGAGGATTTTAAAAAATTGATTTTTTTCAAGTTTTTCAAAAAATTGAAATTTTTATTAAAAGTAAATAGGTCAGTGATAAAAAACTAAAATGTTTTATAGAAATTGAAACCCATGATTGTGTTCATGAGTAACTGGCAATCAATTAATACCATAAGCTAAAAAAAATTCAAAATCAAACTACACGAAATCAGGTTTCAAAACTATTTGATTAAAAGGGCCTTCCGGAAGGCCAAAAGACCTTCCGGAAGGCCTTTTGTCGAATTATCATTAAAGTAAAAAGATATTGGTTTTGCATAAAAGTCTTGTTTTTCTTGTAGTTTTTCCCTTGCATGAGAAAGTTAGTGGCAACAAAAACGACAAACTTTTATGCGTCCAAAATGGGCCAGAAAAGAAAAAAGGTTGAGAACCACTGTAACCTAGATTATTGAAGTTTTTAGAGCAATCATACCCAAACAGAGGTTCAAGTGTAAAATAAATAAATCATTGTCATTTTCATGGAAGTAATTAAGGAATTTATGGGTTTGGTTTTTGGGACACCATGGTTCTACGGATCTCACTGTTGTTGTTATTAAATATCTTGATACAACCAAATACTCCAATCACTCCAAATGCCCGAGCCACATTGTCTATATTAGTTACACTTCTTTACACACAAGAATAAGCAGCACACCGGCATCTATTCATAAATCATGATTGTGTTGTCATTTGTCATATTATTAGACTACTGGAAGTATTTGAGTAATGTGTGAGCTTTTCTTCTAACTGGAATAATGTGAATGAAGTTTCACACGTGGTGATTTGCTTTCATTTATGACTCGCTAAGGTTTATGTTTGTCTTGTGAATGGACCAAGCTATAAAGCAGTCTGATCAAGATGATGAAATGAGAAATCCACGAGCGGACGTTCCTTATTTATGAAAGTTCTATTTTGATTATCATGACTATTGTGTCATAGGAGTTTCCCTGTGTTATTCGCTCAGTTACTTACAACTATTACTTTCTGCTATTGGTTGCGGTGCTATTAAAATACCTACATAATTGTTTTTGCTTGTTGATCTGGATGCTTAATTACACTGGGTGTTTCAGTACTGCTGTAGCATTGTTATTTTTAGTGGTTCATATTAAATTTATACGAAACTTTGTAATGTTTAACAGAGACCACATAGAAGTATATTTATATATTTAATGAGCATGAATATAGAAATTTAGAATGTTGCTTAATTACACTTGATGTTGTATTACATGCTACTTTGTGATGTTCTTTATCAGAAGAAAGTTAAATTTCTATTATTGGTATTCATGAAACCCTGACAGCAATGAGGTGACGAGAGTAGGGTGGTGTACATGAACTACCCTACAGCGGTGAAGAGTCCAGCAATCCCATTGCACATAATTATCCCTCAAAGGATTCGAACCTGCGAGTCCACACGGAGTGATCAGAGGTGCAATGGCAAGCGTGCTTGTAACGATTATCACAATGCGCCAACTGCCCCCAAAGCGGTACTCAATCTTCGTGGCTGTGAATTTGAGCATTGCTTTGAGCATTGCATTGAGCATCTGTGTTTTAGAATATGTTTACAAATTATATTTTTTACCGCTGTTTGACCTTTTTGACCAGTATAAAAATTTTCCTAATTGTTTTACCTTGGTACGACTATGAAGCACATTGTGTTAGTTGGTAATGTTTACACAGGAAGGGCAAAAGTTTCTGGCCGTTTGAACTTATTTGTAAGGGGGATGTGAAATTTTTTTCACCTTTAGTTGAGTCATGTCTAAAGGTGATGTAATTATAGCTAGAATGAATGAAACCTTATTAATCAGAAGTTTAGCACTCTAGAAGTACCGGTATGTGTACCAATATGGAGATAACTAATTTTGTTCAACTACTTTACATCAAGTTGTGTAAAGAGACTGAAACGTATGGGCAGGGGGTATATTCACTTTGCTAACACAAACAGTTCCTGAACTCGGTAAGTCGTAATAGAACTAAAATAAAGAAAATCGAAATAAAATTATGAGCTAACCCTAACCTGGTACATATACTACAGAAGTACCAGATTTTTTTATATACAACACATTTTCGCGCCTTTTGTTCCGAACAAGGCCCTGTGCAAGTAGCCACTGATATCTTACGAAATATGAGGAGGTATTATTTTTTAAAGCCCGGTATCTTTTCTGGTTCGGCATTGCCTACCCAATTTATTATACCCTGAGTGAGGCCTGGAATTTGAATCCGAGGTGTGTAAGCTGCAGTGCCAACAAAGTCGAGCCTAACCTGTAATTAACGGTACTCTTGAAGTATGCGTACCAAGATGCTGGACACCGGAATGTAGTATGTGTACCAGGTTAGGGTTAGGTCATAATTTTATTCTGATTTTTCTTATTTTAGTTCTATTACGAGTTCGGCGACTATCCAAGTGGCTCCAGTAGTATTTGTACCTAAAATTATGGCCTAACCCTATCCTGGTACACATAGTACGTTCTGGTGTTCAGCATCTCGGTACGCATACTTCAAGAGTATCGTTAATACATTCCGATGTCCGCCATCCTGGTACGCATACTTCAGGATCGCCTAATTAACTATTTTTATTGGACCGCCAGAACATACCAATCAAAATAGACGCTATTCAAATCCATTTTCGTCCTTGGCATTATTATTAAATTCAAATTCATACAGAATTGTTTATTTTAGCATCAGACATTGATTGATTGATATATGGTTTTTCAGATTGGAATAATTTTTGCTAGGAGTAGTGCACTATCAATATTATATTACCAATGGAATTTCCTAAAACAACAAAGTTTTCAAAAGGGAAAATTTGGTGAAATGAAATCAGCTAGAAAAACATTTTAAATAATTTCTGTCAAACTGTATTTGAATCATTTGTATTAACATATCTCTTATGATCTACAGAATATACAAAATTAAATGTTACCAAATTATCATTTTTTATTCCTTTAGGTAAATTTCATGCTAAATTTGAGTCAGTAATAGCTAACTTTTCATGCCTGGCCGACTTGCTGTTCTGCTCGTAACAGTTTCGATTCTGTCATGGAATTTCAATTGTCTTAAAGAATCGTGAGCTGTAACACGGAAGTATTATTATAATAAGCACGAAACAAGGTAAATCGATACCGCACATTATTACTGGCACAATATATCACTGTCAGCGTTTATTGTTCCACACTTATTACAGTATCCTTTTTTCGTAAAAGCATTGTACTATTGATGTCTATATCTGAGTAAGTTTCCTAATTTAAAATCAAACTCTTATTCTGGAATATAAGTATGTCATCTAATAGAGTCATGATCATGATATATGCAGGGTGGCCCAAATAAACACAGAACCATAATTTCACTGACAAATTGTTGAATTTGGTACGGAAAAAAAGTACTTTTCATATAAAATGAATCTTATTCGCACTCATACTTGTTTATCCAAATTTATAATTTGGTACTTTCCTGAATTTTTCAATCGCATCTCCAAAATTGCCAACTATTTCCGGTACTATCTACTTTTTTGGAGAAATATATAACGATGATTTTTGTTGTATTTTGCACACCATACACCCATGTTTATTCAGTTTTTTTAATATAAACTTGAGAAAGCTGCAGCAAATTTAAATATACCCGTATGTTAATCCCCCATAAAATAATCTATAAAAATAAACTGATTATTTTTGTACATTTTAAAATTGATATGAGTGCTCGCTCGCTCTTTGCTCGGAAACATTATCAAAATCTATATATGGGATAAGGTTTGATATTTTTGATAATTTTATTAATAAATTTTTAATTGATTTGTCCGATTTTACTTGGAACATTCAGTTTCCTGTATAGACATTGTTTTTCCCACCTTGTTATTTATAGCAAAATAGCAGTCTGGCAAACAGATCTACAGTCCAATCTGTCACATAGATGTTATCATGTAGTTCTTAATCCCATACATATGTGTACTGAGGTAATACATATTTGGGCGATCCAGAAGTGTATGTACGAATATGGAGGTAACTAATTTTGTTCGTCTACTTTACAGTTGTGTAAAGGGACTAACACATGGGTAGGGGGTATATTCACTTGGCTAACACAAACAGACCCCGAACTCGTAATAGAACTAAAAAATGGGAAAAATCGGAATAAAATTATGGCATCGTTTGGTACACATACTACAGTAATTAGTATACCTACACCCTTAATGTACTGAGATGCTTCAAATTTGTATCAAAGTGTATATACAGCAATATATGTCATTTGATTTGTTTATACTATATTCGAAATTGTGTATTTCAGAGTGAAATGAAAGCATGTTTATACTTTCTGAAATTGAAAAAGTTTTGAAAACATTTTTCCCGTCACACTTGATCTTCTCTGGGCGTTGGAAAGGTCATTATGTGCTCCTCAAGCATATATACAGCATAATATTTATTTCGCGCTTCAATCAGTCTTTAGCGAGATATACATATTGATTTTTGTGAGCAAATTGAAAATGTCTGGATTGGAGTAGGTATGGTGGTTTTGCGTTTTTGGAGATTTTGATTTATTTGACACTTAAAAAATCATTCAGTCGTAATCTGTGTTATAAGTGCTTTGCTTATTTGAGCCATGTATGTGTATTTAGTATCTGAATTTTATTTAAGATTACCTTGAATAAAGATATCGCTTAAATATTGGCATTTAGAGTGAATCTGTGCAATCAGATATTGACATTTACAGTATAAATCGGGATTGCAATTACTAATATAATTTAAAAAAATCGATTACCTGGTTGTAATATTTTCGTTAATATTCATGAAATATTTACCGTCCGTCTGTGTCACCTTAAAAGACAATTCTGAAATACTATTATTAGGAGTTTTGTTAGGAAAACTGTACAGTATACAATTTGAGTCTTTATTCAATAGTTCATTATGAAATTACTTTTGAATAGTCATCTTCAAGTTTAAAATATTTTAGATTGTGGCTTTAATATTTCTTGATTTATGGTCAGTTACTTATTTTTTTCTTGACTATAATTTAGTTGATTCATTTACCACCACTACCATAATTCGATTTATTTAAAACATTCTGTTTTCTCATGTTGTGCCAGTTGAATTTTGTAAATATTTTTTATTTGGAATTTTGAATCATTCTATTTTGTAAGAAAACTGCATCAGTTTAAATTGGTGTGAAAGCATCGCTATGTGGTTTGTTTTAACAGGAATTCTAGCAGTCATGATACCATAGTCCGGAATCATTTTAGACTATGGAGGGTTATTGGTATTATTTTATGTTTGCACGATTTGCAACAATCAGAATGCATAGGCATTTAGGAAGTTCCGCAAATGGTGAAATATATTTTAATGATGTTGTTTGATTGAGGTGCAATAGTAAAATATGCATCACATTCACATGTTCTGTCTCTCAGAAGTTTGGTGTTCTGAAATGTTTAAAAACTCTTCTTTTCCAATGAGGACAAAAAACATCAGATCTCAGTTGCAGGGAAATTGTGATTTATGTTTTGTCTTTGCATTATTAATTCTTGTGCAAAGTAATGCTTCTTTCGCTTTGCTGTGATATGAATATTATCTGTGAAATGGTGAAGTAGTGCTTTCAATTTATATTTGAGTGGAATATGTTTTATTTTGATATTTGTGGTAAGTTCTAATAAACATTTTAATCACATGACAGAATCAGACACCAGCAACATTTAATACTGGTAAATCTATTATTAAATCCATTTTGAGGTTTTAGTCTTTTTCTATTTTTAATTTTGGTTTGCTTTCTTATCAATTATTCATTAACTTGTGAAGAATTCCATTAACCAACATTTTTGAAAATAAAAAATATTGAAAATCAGAAGGTAGAGATAGAAAATTTTATTTTATCATATTTTTTTCAGTCTGCCCGTAGTATGTGAACCAAGATGGTGGACACCGGAACGTAGTATGTGTACCAGGTTAGGATTAAGCCATAATTTCAGGTACAAATACTACGGTAGTCGCTTGGCTAGTAACTCGAAATAGAACTAAAATAAGGAAAATTGGCCTAACCCTAACCTGGTACACATACTACTTTCCGGTGGGCGCCATCTTGGTTCGCATACTACAGCAGTACCTTTTTTTTCTATGACGCTCATTCATGTCTTTCTCTCTGAACAGGCCCTGTACAAGCAGCCACTGATACTGATCTTCCAGGTCGGCTTTGCCTACCCATCTCCCTGGGGGAGGTAGTGAGCAAACACTGGCAAACTAAAATGATGTTTAAAACAGCAATTTTAATATATAATATTGACATATCTAATATTGTAATGGGTATCCATTCATATTTGAACAATATACATATATTAATAATATAGATCGACATGGGCGAACTATGGACCGCGGGCCAAATCGGGTCCTCTGGGTAATTCAAACTGGCCTGCCTGATGCTGCCACAACCGAATTAAACCCAAATTTCGATGTTTCAGCTGAAATATAGCTGAATGAATCTGTTGAGATTGCGATTAAATTTAGTTTTAGTACAAGGCTTATTGATTTATACTTTTGCTTTTGAAACACTGTATATTTTATTATTAATAGAATGTAATTTCTTACTACACACTTACATGTCCCGCCATCCCGTTCTGGGATATGAATGGAAACTCGCGGAATGCCAGGGTGCTGCCAAACCCCGGTTGAAAACCCTGGATCTGAAAAAATAGAAATTGAGCAGCCATGGATGGAAACATTGTGGATGTATGACTTTCTTAGACTATAGAGGTGGGCAATATCAACCCCCTTGTACTAAAGATTATAAATAAACCCAACGAGCTTTTCATGACACTCCAGGTGTCTGAAGGACTTATCTATACTTGGAATGAAGTTGAATCCTTAACATCAAAAACTACTTAAGCAGGCAGCTTTTGTCGCATCTTGAAAATGGCTCCTAATGACAATAAATGTGAATGAGATTACCTAGCTTACATAATGGTAGATTTGACAAGCATTTCTTTGACCAATTATCAATAAAAGGCTCATAATAGATAACATTAGCAATGACAGTTGATGTAAACCAACCTTGTGATCAATATTTTTTATCAGAGCATGGTAATTTATAACAACTACTTCGTAGGTATTCCTGTAATATGAGAGAAATTTTCTTGCACTTCCTAATGATTTCTTATTCTGAATTGTGTTGAGCTGTATTACATTTTATTTTAAACTGTTATTCTTATTACTAATGAGAGTACTTTCCTAATTAAAAATCAGAAGAAACATGTATCTTATGGTATTTTTTTTATGAGGTAGCCTATATGTGAAAGTAAGTAAAGCTTACAAGAAAATAATTAATATGTCAACTTTGTTATTCACAGATATTTAACTTTAGGTCTACAAATGAAATGTATAATTAAAAATGTCACTAATTAGCCAACCAGACCCCTCAGATTTGGGAGAGGAATCCCATCTTGGGGGAGCAGTGGATGACGATGTACTCAATGAGGATTATTTTGCCACAAATAATTTGGACACTTTAAGTGATATAAATAAGCAGATTTCCAATGACACTGTTAGTATGACGGGAGAAAGCAGAGATGGATTTGAAACGATTAAGCCAGAGAAACGATTGCCTGAAACTTGCGATCCTCAGGTTTATGTTGATGAGGAAACAAGAATGTTTTGCAATCAGAGTCCGGATGTTATTAACAGTCCCAGGGATATTGTAAGCCCTGCAGATCGTGGAGAATTAAGCAGCCCGTTTAGCGCTAAGGAATCTGATGATATGGAGACAGGTTTTGATGATGCTAGTTTATCTGCCCCAGGAGATGCCGTACGAAGACCAACAGGTTTTTTTGGTGCTTCAACTCCTCTGGAGTATACCACTACTCCTGGTGCGTCTTCAAGTGCTTGTGATGACAATTATGAATCGAGTGGGAGCAGAAAGAAACGTAGAAAAACGCGGAGAGACATGTATGCATCTATTCCTAGTTATGGCAACACAAGACTGAATGGCCCACTAAGATTTCCCAAACCAGCGAATTCAACTCAAGCGGGAGAAATGTGGTACCATGACCCGGACACATCTCCTTTCAGTCCACCAACTTGTCCAAAAAACATGAACTTTAACTTTGGAGAAAGTAGTAGCCGTAGGAGCTCCAGTGGAACCCCTGCTATGCCAGCATTTAAAGCTGAGTATGATGTAGAAAATGCTAAACGATCTAAAACATGCGGAAACGAGATTGAAATTCTGGACAGTAATAATATTAAAACTGAAGCTATGTCAAATAATAATGATACACCTGTTACAAGCAACACAAACGGCACGAGACGGAGGAATACGCATCACAGGGCAACTGGTATAACAACTGAAAGTGAGCCTATCCTATCAAGACAATATCCTCGCAAAGCTGAACATTTGGAGTTGAAAATTTTGGTGCAACCAGAATCACAGCACAGGGCGAGGTATCTTACAGAGGGCAGTAGAGGTCCTGTCAAAGACACCAGCCAACAAGGGTACCCGAAAGTGCAGCTTATTGGGTATCGTGGATCTGTCATGCCGATTTTGCAGGTTTTTGTTGCAAATGATTCAGGAAAAGTGAAGCCTCATGGATTCTACCAGGCATGCCGTGTTACTGGTCGGAATACGAGTTCTTGTGAAGAGATGGAAATTGACGGCACTCATGTGATCGAAATCCCTTTCAAACAAGATGATGATATGACATTAAATGTTGATTGTGTTGGGATATTAAAACTCCGAAATACAGATGTCGAAGTACGTACTGGCTTACGTAATCAAAAACGAAACCAAAGTGTTAGACTTGCGTTTCGTGTGTCTGTAAAAAATGTAATAACGAACTCCACAAAAAGTATGGTGACACTGCAATGCACTTCAAAGTGTATTAGTTGCACGCAACCACTTGGTCAGCCAGAGATCACAAAGAAAAGTATAGATCGATGCTCAGTTGAGGGGGGCACAGAAATGTTCATCATTGGTAAAAACTTCCATCGAGGAACCAGGGTGATCTATCAAGACCCGGAAGAGCCAAATGGAACTCAGTGGTCTGCGGAGGGAGAGGTTGATAAGGACACTTTCCATCAATCTCATATGGTAGTCAGAGTTCCCGCTTACCATGACCTAAACATAGTTAAACCAGTTAATGTACAACTGTTGGTAGAATTTCAAGACAAAAAGTGTGAGCCACATATCTTCACCTATACACCACGAAAAGAACCAGAGCTTCCGAAAGAAGAGCAAAAGAAACAAACTGCAGATAACTCAAATCCAGCTCTTAATATGAGTTTATTGGATGGGCCGATTGATCGTAAATTCCTTGCTGCGTTGTTTTCAAAGTTACTTGCTGGTGGAATAACATCTCAAAGTGATTTGCCAAGTGCAGATACACATGAAATCCCCAAACCAGAGGTGCAAATACCTCAGGGCAATCCACCCCTGTTGACCGCGACATCATTATTACAAAACCAGTTATCCAACCATATTTTACCCAACGCAGCTTTACAATCTAACACCATAGAGGCTAAACCTACTATGTTCAATCTTCCCGCCGGCATTTCTCCGATGCAAAATGAAAGTATTTTGCAGCAAGACGCGGCATCAAACCCTACCCCTTCCCAAATTATTAACCCCAATGCTCTAATTAATGTATTAGGTTCTATTTCTAATGCTAACACTAACCCTGTGCAGATTAATACAAATGTGACCATTTCGGACCCAAATTTGAAAGTAAAACATGAACAATATGACAGTGCACCAATCCCTGTGGCCGCCATCACACCGCAAGTCATCCCACAAGTTGCCCAAGCAGTACCCCCACCTGTGCTGCTTGCGAATATTTTACCATCTACAGTACAAGTGTCACAACCGGTCACTTTTATATCACAGATTCCAACGACTTCTCCCCTGGCTATGGTGACAAGCCCCGTTTCAAAACCGAGCATTGCTCAACCACTTTCGACTCCTGGTGTGGTTATGTTCCACTCATTTACCAATGCAGACAGTGTAATGCAAGTAAACATTGAACCAGCTTATACAAAACCAACTGGCTCTCTAGTCGGTGGAAACATAGTGGCTGCAAGGATCGATGCCCAGAACGAACCACAACCAGCGATACAGCAGACCCACCAAAACTTATTCTCTGTGCGAGTTCCACAAAATGCAACTTTTGGGTCTGATGCTACAAAGCAGAATGTTTTTGGAAATATATCAACTGAGATATTACAACAAAACTCGTTTAAAAATCCAGCGCAGTCTGCAGCCCCACAGCTGGTAGCTTCTACTGGTATAGGCTTACAAAATGTCACATTCGGAACTGCTGGTACTGGATTGCAACCTGCTAGTCAACTGGGATCTTTCTCTTATCCAACAACATTTAATAATGTGAAAGAATCTCAGAATGTAATTCACAACCAACAAAATGTAGACGGTAATGTTAACATGCAGACATCACAAGACACAAATCAGCCAACTTTTGGAGACGTTGGACAAGGAATGCAGCAAATAGCGCAGCAAACAATACCCACATTCACCAATGTTGCGCAGCAGAAGTTTTCTGCTGGTTTACAGCCACAGACTCAAATACACCAAAACGTAGCTTTCACAAACAAAACAGCTCAGCAGTCTTTGTACGATGAAACAACACAGCAGTTTTCTATCAATGAGCAGCAGATTCAGTCACACTTCACTGACAATCCTCTACATTTTACTGCTGGCACTCAAGAACAGACCAATTTCAATGCATCTACTCAACAGTTTTCAACTGGAAATCAGCAACAAACGAGTTACGAGGCTCCAAAACACCAGTTTACAGTCGGTGGAAACCAGCAGATATTCAATCAACAGCCACAGCCGGTATTTAGTGATCCAAAACTCCAATTTACTGTTGTGACACAGCACTCTACCATTTCTCAGAATTGCTTCAATACTAAACCACAGTTTTCAGTTGCAAATCAACAACCAGAAATGCAAACTTCTACTGCTTTTAGTGCTGTCACTCAGCAGCTATTTCAAAGCAATACTCAACAGAATACAATGTTACAAAATCAACCCAGCTTCAGTGTTGCCAGTTATCAACAACAGCAGAAACCGCAAACTGATTTTACGATTGAAAAGAAACAATTTTCGCTTGACCATAACCAACATTCGCAACACGGAATTAACCAAAGTAAACAGCAGCAAGCATTGATTACCGATCAGACCATGAACTTACAGCAACAGCAGCCAGTCATGCAGCAGCAACCCCAGATGACAGACATCATGCATGGTATTCAGAACCAGAATTCCCAGACTCAAAGCAATCAGTCTCAACATATATCATCAGATACCAAAATGCACGTTGATATGTATGTCTCTGATGTTCCGAAGGATGTAACCATGCAACTTGCCCCAGCGGCTTTGCAACAAACTGACACATTCAATGCTCAAGTCACTTCACAAATGTCTGGAGTTGCAAACGTAATGGAAAACCATCCAATGGAGGATGTTGGTTCCACCCAGCTTAGCCAAATAGCAACTGGTCAAACGCAGCAGGCATCTACTGCACAACCTGTTTTTCATACAGATCAAGCATCCGGTTTATTAAATACTGAAATACCGGTACAAAACCAAACGTTTCAAAGCCCACAACAGTCTACCACCAACATACAAATGACCAATGCTCAATTTACTTTACAACCACAAGAAGTTAAAATGATTTCAACTTCAATAGCTTTGGGAAATTTCTCTAACACGAATACGGAGTCTATTCAACCAGCTATGGTTACAATGTCAATGCCGTCTCAGGTATTCCATCCTCAACCAGTTGTTGAGACAATGGCGACCCAGACAATGGCAACAGCAAACACAATGCAGACACAAAATTATACCCAACAGATCACTACACAACCTTCTCAAGACATGATGACAAACCAGGTAGGTCAGCACCAGACACAGCAGCAAGTTTACCAACCACCGTCCCAGGTCCAGTCTCCGCATCAACAGACGCCAACTCTTTCACCGTTACAAATTCAACAAAGTGATTATACATATTCCCCCACTAATCCATCAACAATACAGACGTGTAATAACAATGATAGCGGTACGATGTTGCAACCGCAACCCACGAATTCGAGTCGAGGCTTGGAGCACGGACCAAATTTATTTGCAATGGACCAATTGCTTCAGTCTATAGATGCTGAAAAATTGGCTTCGATAACAGGAGAGGACGTTCAACGCCAATTCCAATAGGTTTGGTTTCCTGTTGTCCATTGGTTCCTTCCCTAAGAATCCAAATTCTGCTCATTTGAAAATTTCATAGTTTACTCATACAGGCTTATAAATTCAATGGTATCATAAAAGTTTCTGTACTCATTTGATTCAACAATTACTAATAAAATCTTGTGAAATTAACACTTGTGGAATTAAAGTACTGATACAACTTATTAATGCAAATAACGGATTTTTGAAAATAGGATCATATTATTATGGGGTGACCCGAAAAGCAGAACCCAAGTAATTTGAAACATTCTATAGAGAACGAAACGTATGAGCAAAGAGTCTTATATTACTGGAACTTGTGAGTTTAATTATGCACGAACAGAAGTTTGAGTGTTAAATAAATTAGCTTTATTTCCATAGAATACGAATTTCATGGATGCTGTTTTTTTGGGATCACCCTGTATATGCGCAAAATGGTAGAATTTAATATATATTCGATTTAACTTTCAAATACTTTATTTCCAACTTTGATAAAGAGCATTTTATGCAAAAGTTTGACTTTGTTCATTTTTGAGGGAAGACCTTTGGTCAACAGGACCAATTTACACTTTGAGTTTGATAATTATATTGCATTATTATTAGCGAGCTTGCTATTTTTTATTAGTATTTTGCATTATATTGTTTATTGTTCCATTATCGAGCTCTTGCCATGTGATAGTGTTTCGTTTGAGCAAGCAGCTTCACTTTTACTGCTTAGAAATATATTGTCAGACCATTCTGAGGGAAATCTGGGTTGCAGCTGAAGAATTGATTTTACCTATCTATATTTTAGTAAATTTAATTTCAAGTTCGGTTGCTCTTCCTACAACAAAATCCTGGTTCATTGATTTTAGTAATTATATCTGGAAACATTGATTTTAAGAAATTAAATATAATTAATTGAAATAGAATGAAAAGAAGAATTCTAGAACACCACAGAATGTAATATTTTTGTCTGGGTAGCCGGTCCGATAGCTCCTCTATCAAGGTTATGCATCTGAAACAAATAACTGGCTAACTTAACCCCATACCCAACATGGACTGGTAACTGGACGAGAGTCCTTGGTTCGTCATTATGATCAAGTCTTCTTATTACCTTTTCTCTCCCCTGGGATAAATATGTAAATCCAATCCAAAATCTAATTTTACTTTGGGTAAATCGATATGCCATAGGATAAGATTGAGACCAAGTTTCAGTTGATTCAATTGAACATTTTCAACTCCTGTATTCATTGGGCATGTATATATTAACACTTCTCAAGTAATTTAATACTCATGGCTTATCATTTATTTATCGATAACAATTAGTTTAAGATCGTTGTTTTGTATTAGGACTAGTTAGTTTAGTCACTGCTTATTTAGGTGACTGTTGAATACTAAAACACTGACTCATGTTGGAATATAAAAACATAAATAAGAGGGCGCTATTCTGGAAAATTTTACATTCAATTCCTGTGTACATCAGCTTGTCTAGTGCCGTGTTCATAGTTTAAATGAGAATCCAGAAAGATGTGAATAACTTAGATTGTTCTTGACAATATATTTCTTCGCAGTTATTGTTGCTTCCAAAATTTTGATGCTCCATTTGTCAAAACCTTTTTGTAGCTTTTTTCTCTTTTTTGCCAAATTTACTGCCCCGATAATTTTTGTAGTTGTTGCGTTTCAGTAACAACTTCAAACAATATTAAAATGGGTTATCAGAATCTCATCCTTTTTAAATGAGGGATATTTCAAGTTTGACGGTGAGTGGTAAAATGTTCCAGAAAAAATTATGATATGACAAGATTAGAAGTTTCAAATAATTGGTCGTTAAAAATTATTAAGAACCGCAAAGTTTGGTTATAAATCTTCTGCTTTAGAATTTTATGTTTTATTTCATCTTTTGCAAAATATTTTTTCTACTTGATTTTAATATTCTATTTCTCGCTTGAGTTATTAATGTGCCCCCGTGTCCACATTTTATTTTACTATCAGGGCTGGACAACTCGTTGGTGCTAGTGCTAATTGAGAAGTCCTTTATACTTGTTTGTTGAAGTTGATCATTATTTGACTCCTGTTGAACCATATCTATGCTGGGGATGTCCAAAGGCTTTAGTTTGATTATATATGAAATAACGCCTAAATATAATATTCAGATCAAAACCATTCATTCCAATCAAATAACTGGCTAATTAATCTCATGCCATACATAGACTGGGAACCAGGTGGGAGATCATGGTTTGGCGTCTTAACGACTTTCCACTGTGAGAGATAAATATAAAAACTAAGATAGTTCTACTTCTAATTATTGTGTAACTTCTCACATTTTGGCAGTGAAACTGTGGTATATTTTATGATTTATAGGGTAAAATTTGGCATTCTAGAATATCAAACTATTTTGGAAATGGACATCTCTAGTATAAATATTTCTAGAACTCGAAAACTGAAAAGGATTCCTAACACTCATTACAGTATTAAATTATATCTTTCAGGTAGTAATTGAATTTCTCTTGTTTTCAATAAATTATGTTAAATACTGAATTCAATTCATAATATTGGACCTAAATCATGATTTGATTTCCCTGTTGGCCAAATGCTGATTTACCAATATTTTTAACTTATTATAGACTGCATCCATTTGAATAAGCGAACTGATAAATTATGCTGGCTGGTTTTACTCAATCTGGTAATATTTTTCAAATATTCTTGTCATAGAATGGTCCCTTATCATAGAATTTGGAAATTCAATTAATTTTAAAACAATGAAAACTTACCATATTTTCATTCAACCTGATTACGGTAATTGAGTTCATTTCAATAAAGAATTTATAGAATAGCAAATTACTAAAGTCAAAATGCGGGGTAAAATGTCGGGTTGTTTTGCGCGCACATCATGATTAGGATTGTCATACTATAAAAACCTAACTGGAAATAAAATTTCTTAAATTTCCATAAAAGAATCAGTTATTGGAACCAATTATCATATTAGAAATGAATTCAAACGCTAGAGATACGGAATTTTTTTCATCTCTGAAATTTTATTTGCGGAGTAGCTTTAAGTTTTTAGCCAAAACTACTTTTCAACACTCCCTACATGGTTGGATATATCTTATTTCTCTACATACCATGTTTGTCATAAAGCCCAAAATAAGTTTATTTTATCAGAATAATATGTTAATTAACAATATCACTGAGCAATTTTTGTTGTATTTACTTATCATTCATAGCATGAAAAACTGTTGACTTTACTTGATCCATTTTTTCTTCCAATTTTGTTGAAATATGCACATACAATACATAGCGTCATTTATTTGGAAAGTTGGGTTTACATATATTTTCTCAGAAATTTGTTGTTGGTAGGGCTGGACACTTCTATTTAAATTCTAGAATTGCAGTATTCTTGTTTTGTGGTCAGCAGCCCATTATCAATTTTTTCCGTACTCCCGTTATATGTGTACCAGGTTAGGGCACAATTTTATTCCGATTTTCCGATATTATTGCTTGGAAGCATAAATAAAAAAATTGTGATTTAAAGCAGGGGTGTGCAACCTTTAATCCAAAAGGGCCAGATACAAATAACTGGATGAAACCATGGGCCGCACCTTAATTTAACATAGACTTCCTAGTCGTTGCGGAAAATATATTTTAATTAATGATCTTATGGCATGTGTTGTTCGCTTCTCACAGGCTAGTTGTAAGTGCATGGTCGCGTCATAGGTATAAATAATAAAATTGCACTCAGAATTGAAATTACACAATTACTATTGAACCAAATTAAAACTAGGTTTCGCGGGAGCGCACCATTCAAAATTGGCCCTTCTACACGGGCCGCAAAATTTTTCTCGTGGGCCACATTTGGCCCGCAGGTTGCAGGTTGCACACCCCTGGCTTAAAGGCAATGACATGGCAGCATAATGTTTACTGAAAACACTTACTTTAAGAACATTGACTCTTTCCAAAAAACAATTCAGTTCACACTATTTTCAGAGCAAGTTTCATGTATTGGAACCTATACAGTAGTAGTAGTAATTATATCGGTTTTAGCTATTAGACAAGTTTAGGTTGTGCAAGAAATTCTTCGGCGTGAACTTCTTTTTTTGCCGTGAATTCGAATTTGGATGCTTGCTGTGATCCTTATCTGATGTATTATAATTTATACCTATCCTAATGCAGAACATATAATCAAATCTACATACAGCTACAGCTGTTCGCACTGCTCCCCTTTGCAGAATGGTTCACATGTTCAAAAAGTCTGTTAATGCTTTCTCCAACTAAAATAATTTATTCGTTAGCTGAATTAAACTAGTAAACGAAATAGATTGTCTTATCAGCTTTCCTCTCCCCGAATAAAAAATATAGAGAAAATCCTATAGTTTTGTTAACAAATGACAAGTGTCCAATCTCCAACTACATTTATCTGAGAAAATCTTACAGAATTTATATGTTTTATTTATTGATGTGGAAGCTTCATTTTAAAAATTTTACTCATAACAGTGTTGCCAGTTTTCAGAATATTATTTCTCTGTGCTATTACGATTTGATCATTTTTATACAGTTTAAAATTTACTCTCTAAGCTTTGTGATCTTGCTCCGTATTTGCCACCATGTGGTAAAAAATAATATGACTTATGGTAAATTGCTAAACCTGAATCTTTTTTAAGGTGCTGTTCTAAATGTTAATTCTATGAAATATTTTTGGTATTTGTCTTATTTCCTCTGAAAATCCTTTATTTATCAAAATTTATCAAAAATCTAAGAAAAGCATTGGAAGTTTTTCCCCCATTTCTAATAGTTCATGTTTTATTTGAAACAAATTTTTGTCAACCTGATGGAGTCGGTGGATGGTTAAGGTGCTACTTGATTGACAATGGCTGTGAAATTTTTCTGATAACTTTTGATGAAAATTTGTTTGAAATGGCACCAAATTTTAGCATGTTCACAAAAAATGAGCCAACCAAAATTATCACACGCACCATGCAAAAACAGTTGTTCATACAATTTTATAAAACTCATGAATTGACCTAAACTTCCAGATCTTTCTCTCACATAACATGTTATCATTTAAAAATGTATCCTTATAAAGTTTGCAATGTATCTGTATTTTGCCTGAATATTTAAGTAAAGATTAAAACCATTTTTGTGAAAAGTTGATACGAGTAAATTGATACGAGTATCGGTTTAAAGATTTGTGTGAATGCTATGTCTTTCTTTTTAAATTCACATTGGACCTCTATAAATAAAGCATAACAGTTTCCTATTTGATTCAATGCGAAAACAGTTGTTTTGGGCTGGGAATTTCAAATAATCTTATTGTCTGAAATACTCTGAATCTCACCCAAAAAATAAAAATAATTTGATTGCAGGTATTTGTCAAGTAATTGGATTCCTAAAATTTGATTTGATATTTTACTTATAATTTGAAGACTAGTAGCCATGAATCAGGCATTAGCCGTACGATTTCTATTTGCTTCAAATATAAAAAAATAAAAAAAAACTATGAAACAGCCAAATTGAAAAATTTATTTGATTCAGATTATTTACTCAAAATTTGGAGAAATGAATCACGAAAAAGATATACTACTGCTATTTGCTGAGGTATAAAAACAGTCAATTTACGGAAATAAGGAATTATAACGATCAATATAAGTTCAACAACATTAACCACAACGATTAGATTATTCCTTTGCCATTCCCAGCCCTGATTGTTCTGAAATTATCCTCTTTCGAAGGCTTTTAACGCTTACCAAGTATTTTTGCTCTTATTCGTTTTCTCACATTCTCGTTTTTTTCCACTGTAGGTTTTATACAATGTTGTTGTTGCAGTCAAATTTGTTTATGTTCTTGTATGATCTGGTCTATATCGGTTAAAATGATAATAATGTGTAAAAATTATATAAGAATTTGCATTTGTTATGTCATCAGCCTCCGTAACCCTAATGTTCACAAGATTTTTTTTAGGAATTTTGATAGTTACCAGGTGTATATCTACATCAATGTTGCAAATTTAGTTCTCACTCCCTATATAAGATTACGAGACTTTAAAATTTCTAAAACTCAAATTTTTGACGGTTAAATATTTTATTTTCAAAATACAATAATTATTTTTACTTATTGAGATGATTTTCAATAATGATAAACTCGTGGTAGCATTCCCAATTAAAGAAACTAATATTTAAATTTTCAAATTCAATTGAATTTTAAACTAATTCAATTGAATTTGAAATCATTTCCCGATGGATTTTTTGCAATCAGCTTTAATGATAAGGCTTACTTAATTTATTTCGGCTTCTAAGCATAGGAAATTTGATATTTATTTTTGATGTGTAGCCATTAACTATCCAAGTGTTATTGATGTTCAGTCAGTCATGAGAAAAATTATAATTAAGGTAGTTTGCATATATAACAGAAATATGTGCTGATTATTACGAACTGTGAGTTATTAAAAAAAATTGATTAAAAATCTCCCATAAAGCACTGTATATCCTACATATTGGCAGTCAATAGCAAAGATCTTATCAATACAACTGTTTATTATTAATAAATGGATTACCAAATAACATCGTTTCAGAATTCCTATTAAACTTAATTAACACTGTATACATAAACTGAATTCATAATATATACGCATAGGCCGATTGCATTAAATCCCAATTTTAAGATGCTTAGAGATAACAAAAGTGATCGAATTTGCAACATTGAAAGACTAACTCTGGTTGCCTAAAACATTGCCTGTATCCATATAGTTTGATACCCACTGTTTATTCCACTGAACGATAAAACCCATGTCCATTACTTCACCCAAGTTGTAATAATTTGGGTAGGCTACCCCAAGCTTGAAAGATTCCGGTCCTTTTATAACAGCGGTTTCCAACCTGAGGCCCGTGGCCCCCAAACGTGGCCACTGAGAAGTTAGAAAGGGGCCACAATGCTCGGCACAAAACTGATTTTACTTTACTTGTCAAGAAAACTCACCGTTCTTCCTAGTTTCATTGCTTGATAAGGTTATTTCACAGGGTGTTTTCACTTTGTTGAGCATGAATTGTTTTAACATAATGGGATTTAGAATCTACCAATCAAAGCAGCACTATAAATACAACTGGAATGATAAACAAGGGGGTGATGAAAGATTCCACTAGGGGGCCACAAGCCATAAAGGTTGGTAACTGCTGTTCTAAAATGTGGTAAATTCTTACCTAGCAGGGCCTTGTTTCGAGGAAAATCGGTACTCCCGAAGTATGTAAACCAAGATGGCGGACACCGGAACTTAGTATGTGTACCAGGTTAGGCCATAATTTTATTTCAATTTTCCTTATTTTTAGGTCTATTACGAGTTCGGGGACTAGCCAAGTGACTTCCCTAGTATTTGTACCTAAAATTATGGCCTGACCCTAACTTGGTACACATACTAAGTTCCCCTGTCCGCCATCTTTGTTCACATACTTCGGGAGCACCGGAAAAGCTTTATTTGCAGTTTTACAATACCAATGAACATTAGATAAATTTACCTGTCAATAATTATTTAGGCCTATACACTTTTCAGATATCCCTAGACAACATATCTTGTCATATTCCGATAAAAATAGGCAGAATTAGAATCGCTCATCCATGTCCATATTTACTGAGTATGCTTAATGCTACAGCTTTCTCGATATTTGTTTGTTTTTTGTCTTTGTAAACATGTTCCTATTTTTGTATATTTATTGCCCTGTGGGAAATAAAAAATAAAATAGATTCTGATCTGATCATGTTGCCCCCAGTTAGAATTGGGCCGTCTATACTCAACAGTGACTTATCAAAACTAGCAGAAGAATGTGAACGCATGATAGAATGTGGTGCAGATTATCTACACTTGGATGTAATGGACGGTCATTTTGTTCCAAATTTAACATTTGGGCATCCTGTGGTTCAAAGTATACGAGATAATCTTGGTGATCGTCCATTTTTTGATGTCCATATGATGGTTTCAAAACCTGAACAGTGGGTGAAACCTATGGCTGATGCAAAGGTCAATTTGTTCACTTTTCACTTAGAATCAACCGACAAACCTCAGGTAAGATTTGTTATATTCGTGAACTATTTTTCCTTTCCAAGTTAGAAAAACAGAAAATTTGACGAATATTCTGTTAGTCCTCATCCTGATCATATCTCATCTGAATTTCAAATTTTCTATTCTCTGTTTTTATAGCGACCATCCTGTATATTGCTATCAGAAATTTTAACGGGCATTGATAAGTTTTACATGGACAAGATGAATATAATTTTACTTTCCAACCATTTTTGCATGTATAAATAACCAAGGATGTATGCACCTTTCTTATTGTAATTTATACATGGTCGTAGCATACTGATATAAATAAAAAGGCTGAAATATTTCCTCACAACAGAATAGCTTTTGGCATTGTTCTCTTAGTAGAAGTATGACAAGAAAGCATATTCTGCAATTTTATAAAATGGTGTAATCAATTTACATGGAGCTGTTGGCATAGTTTCCTTAGAAAGCCTTTAAAAATTGTCTACAGTGGGAAATATATGTATCATTCGTAACATTACAGCCAATGTGCAATAATGCATCCTATGTGGTTGAATAATCATTTACTTTCGACTCATTTAGTGGCGATTTAAAATTGTTTTTTGAGTATCGGCATCAACAAGTTCAGTTATTTTTTTGCTTAATAATTCAATGTGAGGTAATAAATTATATTGCAGAATTCTGTAATAACAAACTGCTCAGATATTCTGCAGACTCTAAATTCAATATGGAATGAGTTGCAATAAATTGTATCGCAGAAATCTGTACTAACAAACTGTTCAGATATTCTGCAAACATGAAATTCAATGGGGGATTGCGCTGCAATAAATTGTATTGCAGAATTCTGTAATTACAAACTGTTTATATATTCTGCAGACTTTAATAAAATTATTTTGGTCGGATGCCAAGTTCAGTCTACAGTGAACTTTATAGGATGAATAATTCATTACTAAGCATGGATCCATAACCTCACAGCTTGTTGGTTTAAAAATGCGTGTAATAATGCAATATTACAAGACTGCTCAGACAAATATTGGATATTGATTGAAACTGGGAAAGCTTTAAAACAGTGGTTCTAAATCTTTGTAGAATTTGTTAAATTTAGTGCCCCACCTCAAAAATACCTAGCTAACAATAAGCATCAAATAACGAATAGTAAGGTGAAGGTATGTCTTATTTAAAAACATGTTGGAAGTACGTGAATGGAACATAAATTATGAAATATATAAATAAATCAATAAATATCCAAAATAAGGCGGGTAAGATCAAGCCTAATAAATATTTTCAATTAGCTTCAGGTCCCCTTCAAAAAATTGTCTGTGCGCCCCACTGCTTCAAATGATGAACCCAACATTTTATTGGGCAATGTCCTTGCTGATATTTGAGACTGGATCAGTTAGCCTACCTATGCCAGGTATAAGGAGGGAAAATGTTATTTTTAAGAGAAGTTTAAAAACAAATAAAATTTCGTTTTTGAATATTGAAATTGCTACATTCCTAAGTTCCAGCCTTTTTACAGGAACTTATTTAAATTTTCCTCTTCAAAATTTGGTAGGAATCCTGATTATATTGTACAATAAATCTGCTAGGAACTTTTGAGTTTAAATTGAACCAGAGATTGCCACCTAAATTACATTGTCATTCAATTAAAAAACCATTTTTGTAATTATTTTATTTGTCAGAGCTAAGACCTTCTATTCATTATTTAGAGAACTTAACAGATTAATCTGAAAATTGATGGTTGTCAAGTGGATTATTCCATTTCTAGCAGCGTAGGCTTCATTTTATAGAAATTATGTCTCAACTTGGCCATTCTTTCAATTCCAGAGTGACAATAATGATAAGGTGACTGTAGATTATCACTTGTACATGTTTAATTTTCCTTGAAAGCATGTAATGTCCTTCTGTTTAAACCAGGCCTCGGGCAAGCTGCCAGATTATTTTTGACATAAAAATAACATATTATTCGTTACTGACCAATATAGGGCATTTCATAAACAAACTGCCATAGCCCAAAATCATTCCAACATGGCCGAACTTTGCATAAAATTTATGAACAATTAATGAAATTACATGTCCTACCTCACGCTATCGCATCTTACTTAGAGACAGATAACCGCACATACATAAACTAAGTAGTATCTTACCTCATTCGATGACTTTATTCAGCAATTGTTAAGTATTTTTACTTTGTTTAATACATCTGTGAGGGCCATAACAATATATGGTATTGATATTTTAAAAAATTTAAAACTTATGGACACCCTATATGTTTTCCAGGATCTTATCAAACAAATTAGAGATCACGGTATGAAAGCAGGATGTGGAATCAAACCTGGAACACCGGTGTCACTGTTGACTGAACTTCTTTATACTCAAATGTGTGACTGTGCTCTAGTAATGACAGTTGAACCAGGGTTTGGAGGACAAAAATTTATGAAAGACATGATGCCCAAGGTGTGAAATTTTTAAACGAGTCAAGTTTATTTTTCCTACCAGTAGATAATCAATCATAATATACGGTATTCGAGAAAAAACATATTCACACAGTTTTACTGTAGAGCAGGGGTAGGCAAGTTTTTTGGGCCAGGGGCTAAAAATTTTGACCACCTAGACTGGCGGGCTATGTAAGTGTGACGTAAAAGTTGCATAGTTGTTTGCTCATGTCAGCTGTAGAATTATGGAACTTCCATCTCTTACTACAGATGGATAATTATCAGAGATTCATGCTTTAGTCCCACAGTATGTTGCCAGATGCTATTATTGATAACTTGATAATGGTGTATAAGGAATTAGCTGAAAAATTCTCGTGATTCGTGACATTTTGTATCAAATATTTCAGTGACATAAAACGGTGTAATGATATGGAGAATTTGAGCCCTTCTCAATTAGTCACCTCAAACCAATCATTTCGAATGCCAGATTTATTATAACATAAAGTCCTCGGAACGTAATCGAAAAAGATTTGTTTTAGTTTAGGTTCCATTGCAGAAAATTATTCATTTTTATTCAACATTGAAAAAAGCCCAGTGATGTCGTTTAAATAAATATGTCAGGTAAAAAGAGAATGTTATTATCCACTTGCCCATTTTGTTCTCAACGCCAATAAATAAAAATAAGAAAGCCAAAAATATTTTTTATTTCAGGTGAAAGCACTCAGAGATCAATTCCCAGATTTAGACATTGAAGTTGATGGTGGAGTAAGTCCCGACACAATACAATACTGTGCAGAAGCTGGCGCAAATATGATTGTGTCAGGGTCTGCTATAATGAGAAGTTCTGACCCGAAAGGCGTCATTAATGAATTAAGATCTGTAGTGGAAGAGTTTTCAGTACCTAGATGATACTTTAAACTGGGAAAATTTCTCTAAAAATTGCACTGGCAGCTACACAGGTTTTAATAGCCGAGCATCGGCATTATACGCATAAACTTCCAATGCCTACTATCTTGAGTGTCAACTGTTAGATCTTCAAAATGATCAACTTGGTAAATTTTCCAATTTAAAATCATTGTTCATGATTTGTGTATTGAAGAATTGGATCTTGTAGTTGCAATTCTTTTTAAACTTTTTTAATATGCCTGAGTCCTGACACAGGACAATGAGATAATTTCCTGCCAATTGCTAACTAATTTTACGCTGCTGAATACAAATACTCTCATTTTTCATTATGCGAGTCTCATTTACATGGTAGTCACAAAAACAAGGGTGTATGTGAAGTGGCAGTGGTTGTAAAAAAGGTAACGAGTAAAATCAAAATTTTGACATTATAATTATATAGGGTGTCCATAAAGTCCCAAAATTATTTAAAATTGCAAAGGTAATTCATCGATCCATATATTGTTTTGGCCCTCACGGATGTATTGAATGAAGCAAAAATACCTAAACAATTACGGATTAAAAACAGCAAACCTGGTTGAGATATATTGAGAAGAACCGACTCCATAACAAAATTGTAAATGGACACCCAGTATATGTGGTTTCTGGTGACTGGGACTCATTGGGGAGGGAGATTTTAAACAGTAATGGAATACAATGCTTTCATTAGTGTAGCATCCCGAAAAAAATATTCTTGCTATATGCAACTTGGTACTTTCCTTGAGAAGTAGATCAATCGCTTTATTGCAATCTTAACAAGTCTATAAAGAAATTCTTCGCGTGGACTGATTGCATACTATGAATGTTCCTGTCGTTCACCGAATCTCCGATACCAATGAAGTCGCCCAGTTGAGTACAGGAAGAGACCCAGGCTTCCTAATGCTTTGTTTCTAATTGACTAATTAATAACTACCAGTAGAGATAACGCGAGACTGATTCTAAATCCTCCCTCAATGTCATTGCGCTAGTGGAATCGTATGCGTATAACACATTGGGCCTTTTGTTAAGCGTATCGGATATAGGAATCCTCTGCAACAAGCATTAAGTAAGAGTTCTGGATAAGTTACCACTATGAACAGGACCTCTTGGTTTCAAAGGGTGGGTTGTCATTATTTTTAAGACTTGCATTTTCTGTAATATATTTTTCAGTCAGTAATTCAGTTTTCATCAATGAGACAAAAGTTTCAATATTCATAATCCGGATGTTAAATATGCTGGGGATTTACTTGTTTTCACTGCCACCATTATTACTTATCGATAAATGTTGATAGGACTGTCTGTTAGATACACGCGATACCTCACGAAAGCGAGGTTGAATCTGCTCCAAATTTTGCATGTGCATTTATCATATCTCGACCAAAAGCCTATATAAATCATGTCGTATAATTAGCGAGATTTTAATTAATTAGTGATGAGACACGCGGTGTCGTTATTGAGTCAGAAGGATACACGCTGCTAGATCGATAAGTCTGCGGTCTCTGATCGCTATCTTGCTTAATAGTATCAGGGCAACTGAAGCAGCCTCCCGAGTCAGTGGTTCCCAAACTTTTTTACTATCGTTGTCCCTAGCTCAATCACCCCCTTCAAAAAATAAAACTGACATCGAGCATTTTGTCACATTGAAACCAATCCAAAACGAACCATCATCTGGTTTCTGGACGTAAAAAATTTCAATAACAACAGTTAAGCCAAATGAAGCAGCCTCTAAGTCGGGGGGTTTCCAAACTTTAAAAACGCTGGGATAGGTTAAGGCGGTAAACGTCTGAATTACCCCAAATTGCGACGGACCACTGTTCTAAGTTGTAGAGACAAGATTCCTAACATCACTGAGCATACCAACTTCCTTGTATTGCTGCCCATAAACACGCACATATGAAGGCCACCACCACGTCCATAATTTTATTTTCAAAAACATACAGTAGCAATAATTTCAGAAGTTGGGCAACATTGTCTCTTTCTCCGGAACTTCTTCCCCCACCATCTCAAAATAGGCGGTAAAATATAGTGCTGAGCAAAAGCAAGCAAAAATTTTATACATAAGTTTGTTGTTAACATTCTATTTGATAATCGAAATAATTTTGATCAAATTTCTGCATTCTGACAAATCCATCTTCAGCTCCACTGGAATAACTGAAAAAGGAATAAAAGTTAGACGAGGAAAGCCAATAAGGCGGCTTAATTATATGGCAAACCACGGCCTCTTGCCCGGTTACCAGTCCATGTGGGTATGGGATTAGTTAGCCAGTTATTTGTTTTTGAGAGCATGGACTTGATGGTGTAGGAAGAAGTCGTTTACATGAATCAGCAATCCTCACACGCATAACGAACCTGCGAATCCATGCAGGGTAGTCAGAGGTGCGGTAGCAAACGTATTCCGAACACTTTTAGCATGATGCGCCACACTGCTGAGCATGCAGAACTTAAGTAATGGAACTTCGTACTTGCAATTCAAACTAAAGCATTCTTGACTAAAAGTAGACAGACATACAGGATGACACCTAACACAGAGCCCTTGAATTTCCAAATTCAATTAGAAAGAAGATAATTTATTTAACAATTGAACTTCTGTCTGCGTATGATTGCATCCCAAAATTATAAAGGCTAGATGGAACACGTTCCAAATTACCTGGGTTCCATATTTTCTGAGTGGGGGTAACAACTGTTTTGTCTTTCACTTACCTTTTACCATCTGGATGGAATGCCAGACTGTTAATAGGACCGAAATGACCTTTGACCCTGCCAAATTCTTCTTCAATAACCATATGAAAGAATCTGGCATCAAACTTTCCAACTCTTGTACTTGTTGTTGTGACCTCCATTGCTTCTTGACCACCTCCAAGCACAACCTGTAAGTATATGAAATCCTCAGTAAATTTTCTTGGTTTACCAAGGTGTTTTTTGTTTTAAATCTTCGTTTTGTGCCAGCTTGTTGGTTATAAATTGAATATTAACTCCAATTTACTTCAGAATTCACATTTAGCATGATATGAAAAGATGGAAATTTCGATACCTAATTAAGACCTGAGCTATCAGATTTTCCGTGTCTAATACAAAAGGTATACTTAGTTAATTGAGAAACTAGATATCATTGTTTCTCAATTTCCAAACTGACTGAATTCTACTGTACAATAGTTCAATTTTCAAGCAAAAGATTGTTGTCATTGAAAAATAAGTTTGATCTCACGTGTAAAGCAACAGGAGAAATAGCTGCTGAGTTTACAGGTCGGTCTGTCTTGAATGTCTTTAGTGGTCGTAGACTTGCTGTGTCGAAGAGCTGCGTAAAGAAGAATAATAATCGTCAAACAAAAATACTAATCTTTTCATATGCGGCTCTTTCATGCTTTACACTTCAAGGCCCTGTGTAAGCAGACACTGATATGCAAGGGATTAAAATCTACTATTTTCGAAATGTCCAGATTCGTTTCGATACGACATTGCTTACCCAATTTACTACACCCTGGCCTAAATGGTGGGCACGAGATTTAAACCCAAAACGAGTAACCCCCGATGTCAACAAAGTTAAGTTCAACTCTTTAATTGCCAGGCCATCACTATATTATTGCAAAGCCAATAAGCCCATCCAAGGGCGCTCCAGAAGTGTGTGTACCAATATGGAGGTAACTAATTATGTTCGCCTACTTTATATCAAGTTGTGTAAAGGGACTGAGACCTATGTAGAGTGGGTATATTCACTTGGCTAACACAGACAGCCCCTAAACTCATAAAAGAACTAAAATAAGAAAAATCGGAATAAAATTATGACCTAACCCTAGCCTGGTACACATACTACGGGAGTGTACTGTAGAGCCTTGTTCAGAGCAAACATTAGAAAAATATCCTAAACAAAAAATATCGCCCTGGTAAAGAAGCTCATGTCGAAATTTTCAGATATTAATTTTTTTAATCTGCTGTCATTATGGACCAGGATCCATCTCCAGTTCTAGTCCTGGCTGCATTTATATGAAAACTCCAAAAATGTGATATTCTAAAAACCTGAAAATGTGACCTTGGTTATCATCCGAGTGAAATCAAAGTAGCTTATGTCATATTTTTCATAACTGGACTTTTTTGAATCTGTCATTATGGACCAGGGGACATCTTCTTGCCTGGGTTTCAAAGTTGTAACAGTTATAGTTTTGATTTCAGGTAGCGCCTTATGTCTATTTTTGGGCGCTCCAGAAGTATATGTACCAATATGGAGGTAACTAATTTTGTTCGCCTACTTCACATCATCAAGTTGTGTAAAGGGACTGAAACCTATAGACAAGGGGTATATTAACTTGGTTAACACAGACAGTGCCGGAACTCATAATATAACTAAAATGTGCCATCTGCATGAGCATACTTGGATGGGTACTCCCGTATTATGTGTACCAGGTTAGGGTTAGGACATAATTTTATTTCGATTTTCCTTATTTTAGTTCGAGTTCGGTGACTGTCTGTGTTAGCCAAGTGAATATACCCCATGTCCATAGTTTTCAGTCCCTTGACACAACTTGATGATGTGAAGTAGGCAAACAAAATTAGCTACCTCCATATTGGTACACACACTTCTAAAGCGCTCAAAAATGTGGTGCTCCCAAAACCTTAAAATTTGACATATGCGAATTTGATTCTGCTCTGGCGCTATACATCCATAAAAAACTCCCATGATATTCCATTTCAAACTTACTTTGGCAGTTTTATCTTTGCTTGCTGTAATCAACATAGTCTGGTCAGTGTTGAACTGCATGTCTTTTATCAATGCTGTGTGTTCCTTGATTGAATGAAGCTGCTCGCCAGTCTGTGTAAAAGATATTCAAATGTAGGCGTATATAGGGTGTCCATAAAGTCTTGAAATATTTAGAGAAAGAGAATTTATCGATACTATATGTTGTTTTGGCCCTCACAGGTGTATTAAATGAAGCAAAAATACTTGAACAATTACTGATTAAAAAACAACAAACCTGGTAAAAACATATTGAAAACTGACTTCATAACAGATTGAAATTGTAAAGGGACTTTATGGACAAGAGGTTGTAGTACCGAAGATTCAGAAAATTCAGTTATTTTGAATTATAACTGACATGCATGCACGAAAATTTATTTGAATTGGCAAGCATATTATTGCCAAATAAGTATTATGTTAAGGATTTGGCCTTTCCCAAATAAGAAAATATGGAATCAAATCAAATATTTGTTAGTAGTCGGTGAAATAATACAATTTAATCAAAATACTGGTATGAAATAATTTTTAATATGGATCGATCGGCTGTGAAAATAAACATTTCAGTCTTTGAGAGAACCAGGGTTGAGGAGCCGTAAAGGTTTTATTGGAGCTGGAGCCACACCTACCAGTAGTGGCTCCAGCTTCTGGCCATCTCATTGTTTTTTTCACATTTATAATTTTTATTAAATACTTCATGAAAATATTGAAATCTATCCTTTCGAGCTCTTATTTTCTGAAATTTAATTTCAATTAGTTTATAATTAAATTTAGAGTAATTTTAAAATTTGCACCATTTTTTTAATCTTAAATGGTAGTGGACTGACTAGTAGTAACAAAAAACATCAACTAATAATGAGCTGGAGCATATTATTAAACCCCTAGTGCAGCGTTTCCCAACCTTTTTTGGTCGCGGACTATTTTCTCACCGGCGAAAACCTTTGCGAACTCAACGTGCGTTTATTGCAACCATACTATGTGTGAAGAAGTAATAAAACCAAACAACATAATTTTAGCAAATTTTCAAAATTGGAAAGTCGCCGCAATTACTCGTTGTTAAATAAGCCGACTTTTTCGTGTATAAATGTCTTTTTCTGTCGCACAATATTCAATCCATTACAACGACGAGAATTTAAAATGTCCTCATATTTTAATTCAATTGTGTTCATGGTCACTCGCGGTTCCAAATTCGCAAGTGAGTTGTGAAATCCAATTGTTTGATTAAGCGACGCGCAAGTGCCCTGTCGCGTCACCTGTTACCAAATTTAAGAATAGTAAACTGCTATTCTAATAGTTGAAAATTCGAATATATGCCCAGCCCTACTCAGTAACCAGTAATTAACGACTCGATTAATGTTATGTGAATAGACTTGCTTGTTATGTTTTATGTAAATTCTAACGTTGATCGTAACTTGGCTAATGGTTAAATTTCGCAAAAACGTTTATCCGCAGTGAATTTCTGGCTCGTTGCGGACTCATTCAAACGCTCCACGGACTCGGGTTGGGAAAACACTGCCCTAGTGACTGTGGAACGAAGAAAAAATGTATCTCTGTGACAACTTACTTTGATATCCCAATGAGCCAATGTTCCATCATCATGTCCCGTTATAATATATTCATCCAGAGGTCCCCATAATGAACACATAGGTTTTGATATTGATTTGGTATCCATTGTGAATTGTAGTGTAGGTTCTGCATCAGCTGGGTAAGATTAATTTTTTTATTATTACTCACTTAAAGTTTAAAAAATTGAGAGGCATAGATAATTAGATATTTATTTTCATCTCTGTGGCAAAGATAAATTATATGTTAATGTCTCATCATGTCTCAATGTGTTTGCTTGTGGTTCTCATTCTATGAAATATCTTTTTGTTTTCAAGTCAAAGGCCCAATTTATTCTGAGCCTTATTCTGGGTTCTGTTTCAGAAGGTTCACTACGAACATAATATATGAAAATTGGGCGCTCCAGAAGTATGGGTACCAACATGGAGGGAACCAAGTTGTGTAAAGGGACTGAAGACCGGGGGTATATTGACTTGGCTAACACAAACAGTCCCTGGACTCGCAATACAACTAAAATACGGATAATCTGAATAAAATTTTGGCCCAACCCTAACCTGGTACACACACTACAGAAGTACCGAAAATTGTACCTGGTTGCCTGATATCATGCACTGATACCATAGGTTCATGCTTCATCTGTCTATCTGTTGTATATGCAACAAGATTTCCACAATAACTGAAATTTGCGCTTCTGCATGATGATTTGGTTTGATATGTGTTCACACAGACACCTGGTAAATAAGAAAATAGTTACAATATGATTTTATCTGATAAACCTAAATTGATATCGAGACAAGAATTTAGCCATTCAAGAGATAAATATAGAAGAAGGCATCAGATTAAAACAAACAATGATGGAATTATCCAATTTTTGATACTTTGACACTATACAAAGGCCAAGTGTGCTAAAACTTAAAATCAGATGGAGAACCATTTAAAACACAAAAAAGCTGTGTGTAATATCACACTTGAAATGAGAGTTGATCACCGTGCTTTGAGCGAACTTACAAAAAAACTTTCTCTTCAGCACAGAGTTATATTGAAAGTATGCTAAGCATTAGGAACTAATTTCCACACTTTTTAAATATGAATTAGTACCAGTAATGGAACAGAACCTGTGTTAAGTTATGTATTTGTATTGAATGATGGTAAATGGTTGTATCGTTACCACCAAAACTTCTGATTCTGTTATTTTCTCTTTATTTATATAGGCCCCATTATGTTTTCTGGTTTGACAAAATTTTTATCTCCATCTCTCTCATTGACCATTTTCAATACCTGTTTCACAATCCCATAATTTACACGACTGGTCAGCAGCTCCAGTTAGGACTCTGGTTGAATCCCAGTTCACATCAACTGCCCAGACTGTACCTCGATGACCATCATATGATCCTAACCTAGAATAGAACAAAATTTTAAATTTCAAGAGTGGCAAAATTATATCGTTAATAATTTGAATAGGATTTACATATTTATCCAGGGGGAGAGGAAAGCCGATAAGACAAATTAATCATATGGCGAACCATTGGCTCCCGTCCGGTGACCAGTCCAGTTAAGGGATTGGTTAGCTAGTTATTTGTTTTCAAATGTATGGACTTGATTGCAGAGAAAGCCGTAACCAACCAACAGCGTGAACCGCCCTACAAGAGCGATGAGTCTAGCAATCTCCTCGCACATAACTAACCCCACATGGGATTCGAACCTGCGAGACCACGCAGGATAATCAGAGGTGCTGTGGCTTAGCACGATGTGCCACACTGTCGTGATATATTCTGTTCTACTTGTGGAATTTAGCTGAACTGATAATTCAATTCAAAAAACATGAATGTAGTTCCAAGGTGAGATTGGATTTCAAAAGCTTTTACATTATCTGACCGCAAGGTGACATAAGACAGGCAATAAAATACAATTGGATTTATATGACATTTAGGCTTAGGTAGGGTTGTCCTGGCACTGGCAAATATCTCAGTAATGCAGGAAACTAAGCGTATACAAACCGTTGTACATCATCTAACCCCATATCAACCATCTTACTGAGAATGTAATGAATTGGGTAAGGAATGCCAAACCAAAATTCTTCAGGTCCTTCACAAATAATAGCTTCTTATTAAATATCAATAGATATCAGTGGCTGCCGCATAGGGACTTCATTCGAAACGAAAGATGTGAACAAGCATCACATAAACAAGTAACAAACACTTGATTAAAAAATGTCATCGAAATGATGTAATATTCAAATGAGGCGAGCAAACATGAACTACTTCTTTTATCAATACCTTTCCATCTAAATTCTGTACTCTTTAAACCTTACTTAAGGTTTTGGTTGCTCTCCCGATTTCATAATCAGTCTTACTTATTTTATTTTTATCAATTATTTTATCATCTGCTGATTATGGAGTCGAAATAAACTTATAAACAAGTTACCTTTCACCATTTATTGTGAACCAGACGTTAGGTGAAGCATCTTTTGCTGCTGTGAATAATAAATCTCCTTCTCTGTTATATTTAATTTGAGTGATTGCACGCTCATGGCCTTGAAGAATTAAAGGTTTCTGAAATATATTATAGAAAAACTTTGACACCAAGTTGAGTCAAGGTGATATCTTTTAGCTAAGCCCAATTAGGAATTCAGAATGAAGCTACCATGTATAGGTGTAGAATAGGATAGGTAGTATGAGTATATATATTTTGATTTTCCCGCAAAAATAATCATACACAAAACACAAAAAATGAACACACAGAAGATTGGGGAACTGGCAAAACCTCTATAAAGGCTTAATACATGTAAATATACATGCCACATGCGCCAGTTTACCCACTCAAGATTGACCTATTCATCTTGAAGGAGAAGAAAGCCGATAAGGCGGCTTATTCTTATGGCGAACTACGGCCTCTCGTCCGGTTGTGATGCTCCAGTAGCATGAGCTTCGAGAACAAAAAGACCAGGTTCCGTTACAGGTGAAAAGAGTCTGATTTGGAAGCTTTTAGCAATAGGATAGGATTTACATATTTATCCCCCGTGGAGGGGGGGGGGGGGAAAGGCAATAAGACAGCTTAATCATATGGCGAACCACGGCCTCTCGTCCGGTTACCAGTCCAGGTCGGGTATGGGATTAGTTAGCCAGTTATTTGTTTTCGGAAGCATGGACTTGATACTGGAATTCACTCAAGCCATTGAAAAAATTTGCACTATAACAGTACAGTGATATTTAAAAGTATGCTAAAACAAAAAATGATGCACAGGCCGGCAGATAGATGGACAAATTATAAAAACTCACCATATCCCAGTCCACTTTATTTCAAACACTAGAAAATCTTCAGAAATAAAATCCAATAACACGACTGTATGAAGCAAAGAGAAATGCGATAGAAGCCGTTCAAATGCTTGCACTCAAGGGCCAGTTGCTGAACTGTAGGTATAAATACTAGAACTGTCAGATAGTAGAAGCTACAGAGCTAAAGACATCATGTGGCGAACAGTAAGCTGAGCTAAACACGAGTTAGATCTCAACGAAATAATTCGCGTACTCGGGATGGCGCTTTTGAGCAAAAATGGATTTGAAGTTACGATGCAAAATATTTATTTATTTATGTCTCTTCTGATAATAAACTACTAATGTTATGACTAGGATTCCACCAAGTAGCATAAAATTAATCTTATATATTTTGACCCTGTTTTAAATAGATTCTGTATTCTAGAACATAGTGAAACACGAGATAGACTATTAATAAAATTCTAGCTCCGCCCACGATTTTGTTTTACAACTGATACATATTTTCCTATTCGACCCTCTCCGGGAATGCATAACACGTATGCAACAACATATTGTAAACTAGCTATGACGTACATTTTATGCCGCAGAATGCTTTTTTCTACTCAACGTACTACTGCGGTAATTAGTTGGTTCGATGCAACCGTATGCAACTGCTATTTTGCATTGCCGCCGCCTGATGACGCTGCAAGCGTCTTTAGCAAGATGCGGTCTCCGGTGCTCGTGTCAGGCTGGTGAGCCATGGTCACATTTTAAGCAACTATGCCAATTAATATACACCGAATTCGTCATATCTGTGCACGTGGTAAAAGAATAGTGTTTACATAGACTTTACAAACCGATTGCAACCTCGGACGATTTATGTGGTTTCATGAAGAGGTGGTTTAAAATTAGTGTTGCATAGGTGCAACATCTTCCCTCAGAAGTGGATTTCGGTTGTTAAATTAGCTGAGATTCATCTGTATAATTTCGTCAATTATGTTGACTTATTGAGCAGATAACGTAGTTTATGAGTTTCCCATGTCATATAAGGTACAATTAGGATGCAGTATATGAAAATTTGCCGAGTAGGGAAAAATTTGGGTTCCGATAATTTTTTTGTATACAGAAGATTTAGTATGCACAAGTGATATGATTCAGATTTATAAACAAATAAAATCGAGGTATATTAGCCATAAATACGGGAATAGAATGATAGAGAAGTGTCTCAGATTGATACAGATTTTCTATTTGTATTTTCAGCGATCTAGCAGAACAATTGCAAACATGCCGGAGGGTAGAATTTTTGCAGAAATTGCGTTGGATTAGCGCGTATTTCTAATGCCACACTTTCAGACAAAAGAGCAATTGAGATTTACAATTATGAATATGATGACACTGATTTTAATAAAAACACCTAATTTCCAGAACGATATTTATGTAGCTAAGATTTTGAGCCTAAAAAATCAGACCATTTCAGCATTTTGAGTGTTGGAATTTATATGGACAGTAGGGCTGGGAATGGTTAACCGGTTAACCGATTTCAGATGGTTAACGGTTACGATTTATTTTAACCGTTAACTGACATCTCAGGTACAAATCATCTTCATATCGTACAATTTCTTCAAATAAGATTACGTCATCGCAAATTTATCTCTTGTGGCATCTCTTATCTTTCTGTGTGGGTAAGGACTCAATAAATGTGAAAAATAGTGGAAGTACCAAGATTGCTGATTATGGAAATTTGACAATGATGAATTCAGAATCAGTTTTCGGTCGATTTCGAAATATATTGTTCACGATTTCATTGCAATATCGGATATTCAATGTCATACAACAAGTTCGCAGTTGAAGCCGTTTTTCTTTGTATGATATGATATATATCTCGAAGTAAAATTTGCATATCAAACACTGATAATTTGTCACATAAATGACGTTTAACAACGGAATGAGGGTTTTCTAAAATACTGCCACACGCCCGAACCACGCTGCTTATCTCTTGCAGCAGAGCAATCATGAAACTATCTCGATTCGTGAATAATTTTAATAAGCTACCGGGATAAGAACACGCGAAATTGCTTTATAAGCATTGTGACGTAACAGGCTGAAAGTATAAATTATTACGTCAAACGTCACGCGGCGGTTAACCGGTTAATTGTGCCCGGTTAACGGTTAAAGTGTTCTCCCTGAAATTCACAGCCCTAATGGGCAGACATTAGCTATCTAAAAACGAATCTAGAGTTAAAACTTAGTCGTGTTTTAAAAGTCCGAGTGCGTCGCCGTTCAGCCAGATAAACATAAAAGCTAATTCGATGTTCGGGAGAGCACAGTTTTTCTCAGCTCCGAATTTTTGACAACACCATAAAAGTGTTGCAATCCACTCATAAACCAATCTATACTAATTGCCGAGTAAAACAAAAAATGTAGGCCTATACACAAAAATGGAATTGGCGTGAACACAAATGCTGCAGAAAACTACGGCTGGCCGTGTTTTTAGAGCGTCTTCAGGATTGGGGCAGGGCCGGTCGATAAATTCAAACGAGAGTCTGAAGTAAAAAGAGAAAACAAACAGTCCAAAAAATATTCAAATCGTAAAACTGTAAATAAACACACAAATTGCCAACGATTTTTCTGCTACCAAAATTGGTTTCTTAATTTTTCGCAGCGTAGCGTAATCAAAATAACTTTCACGCTAAAAATTCTTTCTCCGATAAAATACATAACAGCGAGTAAATGCAAAATTATTTCAATGTAAGCGCTTGATTTTCTATATTCTTGCATTGATATATATGGAAAATCAAAGTTTTCGAATAATTTTAAAAAAATAGGTAAACGAAAGTGTCAAGGGACAACTCATATGCATTTTCTAAATATTTTGACTTGAGAAACTACCAAAAGTGCAAAAACATGATCTATATTAACATTTGTTTACATTTTATTGCGACTTTTAATCATAATTGAAGTTTTGAAATGAGCCATGAAATAAGTTTGACAATACCATTGATATTTTCAACCATTGTGGTATACATACCGGTCATGTTATAAAGTATTGCAGATTGAACAACATACATGTGATATTTTAGAATTAGTCCTTTCTGGGCAGAAGTTGCACTAGCGCAACATCCAGTAAATCCCCCAGGGAATCGGAGTGTCGAAAATTTTCAAAAATTAATCATATATGACCTAAAAGTATTGCTTTCACCAAATATCAGATTTTTCCCGGAGATGGTTAAGATTCCAAACCGGAATACTCAAATACCCGTATTAAACACAAAGCTTTCAAAACATTCTGTGCGATAGAGGTATTTGATTGCGTCATTATTTGGAATTAAAATGTACAGTATTGACCTGAGCTGCTTTAGGACTCTTTAGATATTTTCATAGGAATAGTATCACTCCCCAGTCCCGACTCATAAGATTAACGCAAGCAAGAAACAATTATTTTTTTAGTGCTTGGGTGTTTTATTATAATACTTATCTCCGCACCTTAAAGTAGTTAGGCAAATATAATTATAAATAGGATTCAATGGATATTTGTTAATATATTTTTATGTTTAAGGTTGCCATTCAACATACAGCCGTGCTATACGATATATACTTAAATCAATACCGTTAAATAGAATTTTCAATCAGAAAAAGCACAATTGTGTACAATTGTTCGCAGTGCTCAATAAAATATTGTTAATAATATGTCCCCTGCAACTTCTAGTAATTAAAGGTATGGAAGATCAAATGAAATATTTGTAGAAAAATGAACGACTTTGTGGTACAGTATATGATATTGATATCTAAAAATCTCCAAAGCATATTCTTTGATGCAGCTTCACAATTTCATATTGGCAAAGTTGTTGGTCGCATTATACAGATCAAATATAATTGTTGTGTACAATTTTTGTCACAGTTGACGCCATGTCATCACTAAGCACCGTGTTTTCCCGAAAATAATACAGAGTCTCATTTCAATTTTCGTTTAAAAAATAGCACTAGGCCTTCTTTTAATTGGTTTGTGGGGGGGGGGGGGTCTTTATTTTCATTTATCATAAAACTAAATTACAAAGTAGCGAATTACGAGATTTTCGAATATATATATTGATCATTTAAAACGTGTTAGAGAGATTTCTTGTCATCCATCGACTAATTCTTATTTTAAACGGAGTGCTTATATTAAAATCAATTTTAAAATTCAGATTTTTTTCGAGGTGACACGGTACTAAGTGCAAAGTCGAGTCAAAAGAAATTATACTATAATAAAACTGCGAGGAAAAGTGAGAAATCATACATATATACAGATCACACTAAAGGAATCGTTTTAGCCGGTCTGCCTGCAGTTTCCAGCCATCTTAAAATGTACGAATGTTTTCTTCTGTAATTAGGTGTGGCATTTCGAACGAGGGGAAGCCCGATTTGATCCGTGAAACGAACTTTCTTTTGTGACGCACCCTCTGTATCGACAGGTGATTTGGCAACCTTGACTCTCCTTTGTTGCTGGATCTTCGAAGTTTGTGGAAACGCAGGAATAACCCGAAGTACAGGCGCCATCTTACGCGATTGAGCTCCGGGGTCGTGTATTGTGAAACATGGCTGGTATGGATATACATTAGGAGCATCATCTGGATTAAATACCGGTAGCCTGCGATTCCATCTGACGTGGTTTTCGATGATTTTAAATGTAGTATTTGCTGGACTTTTAGCCATGCTCATTGCAGTTGCATTGCGCTCGAATACCGGTGTTCTGGAAACCGTGCCGTCAGTTTTTCTTGCATTTACTGCACTCGGCGAGAGAGCTGGATATCGGTATGGTTTACGTATCTGGGTAGTGTGTTTGTAATGTATATTGGCTAGTGAAAATGGGTGCCCATGTGCGGTTGACGTGCGTGGTCTTGGAGAATTGCTCTTTTGCATGAGTCTATAAAAGTTGTTTCCGTGTTGTTGTTTATCGTTGCCAGATGTTTTTGTGACTATTGTAGTGGCAAGGGGAACTGGTGTTTCGTTGTCGTGATCAGCGGATTTTCTCGCTGGCAATGTAACGGGATTGTTCTCGTTCAGTCTGGCAACCCTATTCACATCGTCGTCCGATCCAAGGGTAATAACTCCACCCCTACTAGGAGTTAAGCAGAGAAGCTGTTGCGTGCTGCTTACGACGGAAGGGTAGGAGTAATCTTGAAGACGATTGCTTCGTAGTAAGCCGTTGTGTATGGTCGATCTGAAAATAAAATTAGAAATTGATAAGTTGCTTTAAAGGTGGGCTTGGAAGAAAGAAAAAACGAGAACATCGGTCAGAGACCGAAGACTTATCGATCGAAAGTTAGAGGATTCCCCAAAACAGCGCTCTCACTCCATAGTGACACCTTGTGTCCCATCACTAATTAATTAATAACTCGCTAATTATACGACATAATTCGCCCAAAATTAATAGGCTTTTGGTCCGAGATAAGATGAATGCACATGCAAAATCTGGAGCAGATTCAATCTTGCTTTCGTGAGATATCGCGTGCATCTAACAGACAAACATACAGACAGACAAATACCTATCAACATACTTACCGATTAAAATCGATAAGTAATGAGTGCAACGACAAAGTTCGGTGTGAAAATTTCATATAAAAAAAATAGAACATATGAGTCGTTCTGGCGTGAGATTTTTTTAAATTAAAAAATTCACAGTTTTGCATGTTCATCAGTTATTACACTACCACAGTATACTTCATTATTTGCTATCATTTGTTTTTGGGCTCAGAGCCTCTAATTTCACGATTTCAATTTCTGGATTGAAAAATTAATATATTTTACATAGTCTTTCGATTGTTTTTGGTAGTATCCATTGAAGGTTTTCGCACTATATACGATGCTGGTGTAGAAAATTGTTTTGGGGATGGAAATACAGAAATATTACTTTGTATTCCGTGTATTTCTACTAAAATTGTGTAGAATGATTGTAATACATAATTATGAATACATACAAACCCTTCAAACTATTCAAAAATTCGAGTCCGAGTAAGCGTAACACTAGCTAAGAATTTTGTCGAAATACGATGATCAAGAGAGCTGTGCTCAAATATATGGACACGTCACAAGGTGTCGCTATTTTTTATTATGACACATAAAAAACGAATCTCTTAAAGTCCCCAGAAATTTTTGAAATAAGTAAAAGTGATAGCCTTCTGGGAAAAAAATCAATCTTTAACCACTGAAAATTTCAAAGCAATTGGTCCAGTATTCGAAAAGAAAAGCAAATTCATCATGACGAAAGAGAAGAAGAATTCTAACAAGAACAACAACATAATATTGAAAAACGATCGTGAAACTGACGTGTCCAATAAGTGAAACATACTTTCTATACACAGATAAGGATGCGCAAAGAGATCCAAAATTGTAATATATCGAAAAAGTAGATAAAAACTGAACTAATCACCTGTTTAAAACCCTTCCTTGCTTTGCATTATTCCCAGTTTCAAATGGATAATGTGGAGTCTGTTTTATCTGTGGTGGTCTTGAGTGAATGCGAAATGTTTTCATCTCGACTGTTGGCCTAATTTCTGTTTCTTCTTGAAAAGGACTTGTACCTTTGTCACGTGAAATTACGTCATCGTCTTGCCCCGAACTTGGTATAACATGGGCGTGCACTTCCGTCAGTTGTGATTCGCTCATTCCTGTGTCGTCCTGAAAAAGATAGAGAAGAAATGATGGTAATGAAATATGGAAATTCGTGTTTAGGGGGCAGATTGAATTACCCAACGGGCCGGACTTGGCCCGCGGGTTCATGTACGCGTTAGACGATTGCGGCAAACGGGTAACGTGCATTACAGCTGACAATTAGCGTCATTTCTGGCGTTTCAAAAATTATGTATTCAATTTATGTAAGGCGTGTCATGTTAATGTAGCTTACGTAGTGACATAGATTAGAAAACAAGTAACAACGGTAAGTTGTTCTTATCATTTAATCCTATGTTAAGTAATGGTGTAGTCTTAAGGCTATGAATACAAAAGATAGCTCGTTCCTAAAATTTCGAACCCCATCACTGCGGAGACAATATTTGTCATGATATCAAAGTCCGTCAAAGTGTTAAAGCTTTTATGGGCCCAGCACCATATTGCTCTTCTTTCCTCGTCGTGGAATAGGTTAAGCCTTTAATAAAAAATGCCACTTACTGGTATATCACTTTCCTCCTCGCTACTATCTTGATGATAGCTGTTGGTTCCAAACTTTGGGACGGTAAGAAAAAATGCGCCAGAGGGTGTCAACTTGTGTAAATTATTGGAGAAGTCTTTGAGTTCGTCGATATTAAAATCTTCAGAATCAATTGCTGAATAAACACCGGGCAATCCTCGCAAAGATACGAAACTTTTCCTTCCAGATGCGACTGGAACTTGTACACTCGAATCGTCTGATGAATCTGGCCCAAAAACTCGACGTGGCAGGAGATATAATTACTTCGATAGTAGAATTATCACAGTCAAATTGAATAATTCCGTCTCCCAATATATTTAATCTGCGTTTTAGTAGTTCAAGTTCGTATGAACTTTGGCGCCCACTTGCGGATTGAGGTATTTCAAAATTTGCTGATTTGGTTCCAACTGGTTTAAATGAACTTTGGTTCGCAGTATTAGGGTGGGTCCTATTCCATATACGTTTACTTGCAGAAACTTTTTGCTTACGTCCAAGAGACGCAAAAGAGAGTCTTGAGTCTGATGGTAACACTGGATCACCAACTGTATTTTTGATTCTTTGGCGAGCTCTCCATTCACGATAGTAAGAACTTTTCATGATACATAGTTCACTTTGATTTGTTGTCTCTCTGCGCCGTGATTGCGTCGCTAATTAAGCTTAATTATTAATTGTATGTCAAACTAGATGATAGGTAATTAATATACAACGTGAGGATAGTCACAGAGAAAACGTTTTTTTATAGGGTGTCCATGAAGTCTTAAAATTTTTCAAAACTGCAAAGGGAGTTTATCGGTATCATATATTGTTCTGGCCCTCACAGATGTGTTAAATGAAGTAATAATACTTGAACAATTACTGATTTCAAATCAACAAACCTGGTTACGATATATTGAGAACTGACTTCATAACAAAATTGTAAGTAAAGGGAATTTATAGACACCATGTATATATATATATAGGCCCGAATCACACTTGAATTATAAATAATATAACCCAATGCAAATGATAATTTAGAAATATGAGTCGGCAAAGAAGCCAATACCAAGCGTTCAAAGTGGACAAAACGCGATTTGGTAAATTTTACCAAAGTTTTACTGCATAGCAGGGCTTATGTGCGAATGTTTAAAGTATTCTATAGTTATGGACTTGGATATGACTAATTTTTGGTAGATTGAAGGAGTGTATCTTGGGGATAAGGGTCAAACAGTACAATTATGTAATTCTAAAAACTTCAATTATGTGGACTTTACCATGGCATGGCTGTTTTCATATGGTATTGACCTGGACTACTACTAAGTGTATCCCTAATCGGGGTGTGCTAACGCGTAATTCATCTCCATAATGCTTTAATAAAGTTTCAGTGGCTCATAGCACTTCAGTGGACGCATGGAAACCAATCTTATTTGCTTCTAAATGTGAGCGTGATCTTGCTTTGCGCTTCTTAGGAAATAAAAATTCGAGAACTCTTTTGCATAATTATCACTCAATTATTTTTGTGTGTAATCATTTGATGGTATGTTACGGCGCAACTATTTCTAGTCAATAATAGTTTTTCAGTAGCTTGTCGCTGTTATCAAATCTCTGTAAAATTGTCAAATAAATGTCTGAAAAAAAAGTGCCAAGCATTATGAGGTAATCACAAAACAATTTTTCATTTTAGAATTTTGTTTCAACAGCAAACTGAGTTTTTTTTCCTGTCATAATTTGAGTTCATTCAACCCAAAAGCGCGAAACTTGGGAAAAACCTGACGTGACTTCGCAGTCAATTGAAAGTGAATTATACGTTACGATGAATTATTTTCTATAACAAAATCTTAATTTCTGGTGAACACCCCTAAGGTTGACCAGGCAGTTTTGCAAATTTCTTTATTCCTTCCTCTCTATGTAGGAAACTCTGTTTCTATTTGTTGTTGAGTGTTCGATTAATTATTTGCTTTAAATTTCAATCTTGAAAGGATCCTTGGAAAGTGCTTTGCGCGACTCATACTCTGGCTCTTGCACTGTCTGAATTGTTCATAATTTTCCATATAAATATGTAATTCGATAATACTGAATAACGAAACAATATCAGTAAAACTACATCGAATACATATTGAAATTTCCTCCCGTGAAACAGCAAAATCCTTGAGCTTAGGCCTACCAAACAAACACTAATAAAAGGTCTTTTAAGTTTGCTGCACAAAATATTTACAACTTTCAGACTTTCAAAACAAAATTGTATTTTTAATTCTCACAGCTGTCAACGTACGCAGACTGTTGTCAAGCGAAGCTTTTACTTTTTAACAACATGCTTGGAGAAGCTTGTATCTGCACCCATGTTAAACATAAAATGTATCCATCTCTTCTATACTATGAGACAAATGTGGAAAATTTGCCTAGCTAACACAATTTTAATATATCACAATTGGACTTTTCCATCCCATATACACGCATGGTCTTTTATAAACAAAGCATAATTGTCAAAATTCAATCCAAATTTCGAATTTAAAAATACTATAAAATTTTAGTAAATCATCTTCTTCTTTACAACAGTTTCATTCTCAAAGATTGAATTTCAAACTCGCCGATTTGATACAATACAAAACCTATTGTCCGGATTAAAATGTATCGTTTTCAATAGTCTCAAATGATTAAACTACTCTATAATTGTTGCAAGTGTAAACATTAGTCGATTCATTATACTGTCAATTTTTGCCTACGTAGGAATGACGCCTGGTAACATTTGAAGAGTTTTAAAGTTGTAGTCGTTTGCTGACTAGTTTACTTTAAATGATTTTCTTTGATTGACACCTGCCAAGCATGTTTATGTCATGTTGCCCCGTGTATATATGTTTCGTTCCTGGCCCAACATCTCACAATAGTAACTAGCTAATTCGACCGAGTGTCGTCGCGATTGCGCCTCTGACTGTTTGACGGATTGGTCCAGGTTAGAGACTAGATTACTTGTGATTGGCACCTACCAAGCATTTACATGTCAAAATGTCCTTTAGTATGTATGTTCCATTCCTGGACTGAAGTATAACGACTGACTTTACCTGATTACCCGGGTTGGACGCAGAATTGAATCCGTTAGTGCATTCTACGTGATTCACGCAAACGATAGTTATTAATTAAAAACTATTATTATTTTTTCAATGGTGCTCATAACTTGCGTAGTTTTGTGCAGCAGGACTATGATATTACGCGTTGTGTTTTCAAATGCTTCTAACCGTTATGATGACGTATTCTATAACAAAAGATATAATTCTGAGATTTGTTAGTAAATTCATAATTTACCGGGTAGATATTCAGTTTTTTTGCAATGAATAATTAAAAATGCTCATTGGAAGTCATAGCGAGGACATGTTGATTACGACTGCAATCTGTAGCGACAGTTTGGTCGGTCTTCCTCGCTAGGATTAATACGACAATTTAATGTGCCATCAATGATCACTAGGTGGCACGAGTGAGATAATCGGGGGAGTTATTTTTATTTGACGATTTTTGGGTGCTAGCGTGCATTGAAATATTCTTTCTCTAATTTTCATCACAACTTCAACATCTACACTATGACATCAAACTTGCTGCATTGCGGCGTCAGATTTCAAATTATGACGTTAATCTCTACCTTGGCTCTTTCTACCAGGGTTGTGGAGATGGGGGTCAGCACGTTTTCACTGAAGCCTGGTTGTATTCTCAAACTCCCTGGATTTGGGAATCTGGGTCGAGATTCCGAATTCCCCATAATCGGTAAAGTGGATTACAGATTATAGTAATGAAATATGTTAGAACTTCCCACTTAAATTGAAATGGCTTCAATTTTATTACGCGTTCTTGATGATCTCTTAAATGAGACTTTCATACGCAAACGATTTCGTTGAAGAAATTTGATTTGAGTTCGGAGCTTGAGTTGGAGTCAAATTGTGAATTTTCTTCGACTTCAAGCCCATCTTGCTAGATATGCCTGATGCTTTTATGTTTTAAGAGTTGGCGTACCAATAAATAACCAATCTAGAATCTTGGGCCTTCTGATCTAACTATCACAGTGGTAAAACTTTATTTATGACAGATAAACCATCTAAGAAGAACGAAGTCAATTTACTTCACTAGTTAATATTTAACAGAATTCAGATTGCAGAATTCATACATATATCATACAGTGTAAAACAAGAGGCACAACCAGAAACACCAACTTAGACTGGTGTATTGTATTAATGGATGCTCCGTGACGGAACTATTTGGTTTAAAAATTAGGATTTTTGTTTTAAAATATTTAAAATAAATAATTACAATGCTGAAATTAGGGACATTATATCTAGTTTTCTATCCACGATTTTCCGATAGCATTGTAATATTCCACATGTTAAGCTATCAAATATATATAGAAAAACAAACAGGCCTAAAATGACAGAAGATCAAAAAGTCTGAAAAATATGACGTTTCTTCGGTTTTATTGCAGCAATTTGGCAGCTGTTTATATAGAAGTGACTAGAACCATGGAGCTGAATTGGATTCAAGTTAAAAGTATTAAATAAGCGATGAAAATTGAAAAAGAAATCACAAATTTCTTGAAAATCACTGACTTAAATATTGATTTTTCAAAACGTATCGTAATGTGTAATAGCCATAAACAATAGCATAGGCAGGGGAGTGCAACCTTCATTACAGGAGGGCCATATACGAATAACGGGGTAAAACCGCGGGCCGCAAATTAATTTAACATTGGCTTTCTATTAGTTGCGCAAAATTTTTGATTATTGATCTTATTCCATGTGTTGTTGTTCGCTTCACACACGCTATCTTTTGGGGCATTGTAACGTAATAGGTGTCTATAATAAATTGGACTCGAGTATAGGCTTTGCTACGCAAAGGTATTGGAATTAATCTCACTATCCAGAAAAAACTTAATTAAAAACTCGTTTCGCGGGCCGCGCACCATCCAAAGTTGTTACTTCTTGTGGGCCGCATTTGGCCCGCGGTACGCAGGTTGCATAAAAATCCTCTGTGTCGCAAATAGCGAACCCATTACGTCATCCAAGGTAATTTATCAGTGAACAAATTTTCAGACTCAATAGACCACAGTACGTACGATTGGTCACTTTGCTGGTTTAAAGCGATGTTAAAAAAATAAACAAAAATGGCCTTCAACCCCAATCTGAAAATCACATTTTTTTCGGAAATTAGGAATCAAAGTGGTGATATTTGAAAACCCGCCAGAATTTTCAATATAGGCATTTGATCTTCACTTCCTTACTTAATAACCAATTACGATTACCCATTAAAAATCATAATCTCAAACAAGGTAATAGACGGCATTAAAAATAGTGTATTCGTTTATAATATATATTTACAGTGACAAAACAATAATTTAAATCCTGGATAAAAATGCAAAACTATACGGTATTCGGATGTTACATAGAAATAAATAGTACGTGTTAACTTGACAACGGCAATAAAAAAAATCCGTTATCCCGAGTACAGAATAATTGATAATTTAAAGTTCTCCAAAATGCTATGGACATAAAACATCCAAATGTGTATCTTTGAATCCGTTAAAAAGAAGGAGCGTGTGTATAAATATATAGGGTGTCCATAAAGTCCTAATTTGCACCTGGAATTTCTCGATACCACATATTGTTTTGGCCCTCACAGATGTCTTAAATGAAATAAAAAAAAAAAATACTGAATAAAAACAACAAACCTGGTTCAGATATATTGAGAACTGACCTCATAACAAAATTGTATAGAGACTTTATGGACACTCTTTAGATCAAAAGACAAACTGTGTAACTGTGATTTTCATTTAATATACTCAATTCAACTACATGAATTGAAATATTCAGTGATAGAATAACAAACAGAAAAAAAATTTCATTTTTGAAAAGAATAAATTGAAAAAAAAAAAAAAATTTTGTTGTAGCGTTTTGAAACCCATAAACATAGCCTTTAGTGAAAGGGTCATATTTACTTTTTTGCATGCACTTTTTTGAAGGGCTTCAATGTACAATTTGAAATGGCTTACAGTTTATTATATATGGTATAATATCTCAGAAATATCTGGTTATGGCTCCTTCTTGTTGCACCATTTCCATACCCGAAATGGACTGCTAACCGGATGAGACGCGGTGACTAGGGTTGGGCATTTTCGAATACCTGGTGAATCGATTTATTTTTTGAATCGAATACTCGGAAATACATAACTGTAAGCGACTTTTTTATTGTAATTGGTACTGTCAAGAAATGAGTTACCGAAAACTAAAAATACATCTCTCAGACAGATTACTGAGCGTTCACACACAATAAGAAACACGTTTTAATCAATACCTTACTACAGAAAAAAGTCATATTCGCGTTGGAAAAAATATGGCTTCAATAAAAAAATTTGGGATTTCACCTCGACCTTTGACGGAAAGAAAAATATAGATGGCGGCGATTCGAAATTTTGCCCTAAACCGATTCGAATAATTTACTATTCGATTCAAAATGCCCAGCCCTAGTGGTAACCCGACGTATGATTAAGCCGTCGCTTGTTTGTTTTTTTTTCTCCCCGAGATAAGTATGAAAATTGTATGCTATTCACAACAAACAGAAAACAAAAAGCGAAAAATGAGAAAGTGAATAAAAGCAAAAATACACTATGCAATGGATTTTAATTTACAGAAAAGAAAAACAAAAGAAATGTCATGGAAACTCTCCAATTTGTATGTCAATAAGAACACTTCATATAGTTAAATTACAAAACTTACAGGATAAATGCAAGGCAAGAACAACAAAGGAAACCGCAACAAACTTTTGAACATGACATGAACTGCTCAAAAGTTGAATATTCATATTATCTTGAGTGAGTGCAAACAATCTATAACAAAGATCGTCAAATAAGTGCGAATTGAACATAATTTCGTCGGAATACAACGTATAAATCGAATAAATTGGGACATAAGTTTCTTTTATCGTTTTTTTAAATATTATTCACGCACTAGCCAAGCTAAAAAGGCTTTGTAAAATTCTATGGTGAGGATTTAATAAACGCTGCATTGTGCCCTAGTAGGCGTAGAGTTTTGTTCGGCGGTGAACAACTCACAACAAACTGCTAAAATCTAATGCCAATGATACTAAAAACACGAGGCATATTCCTTGTTTAGTATCTCCCAACTCGCGTACTGGCGGACCGGTGTTACATATCACCAAGGGTGTAAGGGTGTAAGTTGGGTAGATGTTTGCACGGGGCCTTTCATGGAGTCGTATTTTATATCATTTACAGGAATTGTCCTCGGCGGTAAACTCTAAGCCGCCGTTTTCACGTTGCCGCCATTCTGAAGGTGTCGCTTCATTCTCAGTTTTTCCAGCATTACGTGAACTAAGTCTTCAATATCATAATCATGCGACCAAGCCCAATCATTGCGAGCGTTTGTATCCTCAAATTTCTTCGGCCAATCGTCAGCTGAAATAGGAAAGAAAATGGTTAAAAGCAATCATAGTTCCGCCCTAATTTATCTTATGCTTTCTGCACATGTTCGTGGCAGCTAACTATATTGGTTGGATAGCATTAAAGCTTTGAAATATCATTCGATTACCAGCAAGATTACAGCAATAAACTCAATCGTAACCTGAACCAGATATCCGTTATCAGTACCAGAACGAGAGTGCTTTTTGAAGGTTGAATCTGACCATAGGTAGGTCCAGTTCTCGGGTCATATTTTATGCAAAAATCTATTCGACCAAGGTACTGCGAACTATATCGACATTTCAGGTATTCTTCTTAAAACGCGAGTTGTGTAATATCCATATCTGACTCGTGCCAAATCAGCCTAGAATTAACTTAAATAAAAACGAAATATTCAATCAAAGCGAGGTCAAAACGTCTGGTCCGGAAAGTCCGTGGGTCGAAACGTCTGTAAGCCCGTCATTGTCGATAACTCGAGTTAAATCAATTTAAAAACTGAATCGCTTGAGTCAAGTAAATTTTTGAACATACTCAAAACGGGTGATGTCGAATAAAAATGCGACTCGATATATACAAGAAGCCACTAGAGGCGCTCCAACACCGTTAAACATCCTAAGCATCTCTGTACCAAATAAACTTGATATTTAAAATAAAATTGGCTTTTCATTTCCTTAAATAAACCACTTACCGATTTTCTGCAACATTGGAATGACTTTGTACGACATTTTAAACTTAGGAATATGTTTTCTAATTTCGAGAGCGATTTCTTCTGGGGTGAAACTCATCGAATTCACGTTGTACGTTCGTAGTTTCATCATTTGACTTGGAACGTGCATGAACTAAAATATAGGAGTTGTAAAATTTTGTTTCAATCAACAAATGTACTGTATACTATCAAATAATATGTACTCTTTAATGAGTTCTGTAATCGCCGAGACCTCAATCACGAGTAGCAAGATTTGTTATCGTCTATACCTGACATGGGCAAACTGCGGACCGCGGGCCGAATCCGGCCTTTTGAGTAATTCAATCTGGCCCGCCTGATGCTGCCACAACCAAACTAAAACCCAATGTTGATGTTTTTGTTCAATTTAGTCAGGGAATTTGTTGGGATACCGATTAAATTTAGTTTTGACCCGACGTTTATTGTTTTCCATTTTCGCTTTTGTAACACTGTAAATATTGTTCATAAAATGTACATTTTTACGTCACACTTACATGGCCCAATTTTGGACCCTGATCCAAAAATCTTGCCCACCTAGACTGGCTAAACCTCTAATAGAGTTAGGATTTGTTTGGGTGATAGGATTTATTTTATATTTATACCAAAGAGGAGGATAACACGGCTCAACCATTGGCGAACTACGGCCTCTCGTCCGGTTACAGGCCCGTGTCGGGTATGAGATTAGTGGGCCAGGTATTTGTTTTAAATATATGGACTTGATGGTGGAGCAAGTCATCACCGACCAGCGGTTACGTGAACCACCCTACGGCGGCTAGGAGTCCAGAAAACCATTTATCTCGCGGGATATGACCTTCGAACCCAAGCAGGGTAAACAGTAGTGTGGTGGCAAGTGTGTTCCGAATTTTTGGTTACGGGTAGGGCTGGGCATTTCGAATCGAATATTCGAATCGAATCGAATAGTAAATTATTCGAATCGGTTCAGAGCTAAATTTCGAATCGCCGTCATCTTGTTTTTATCTTTCCGCTAATGGTCGAGGTGAATTCCCCAATTTTTTTCTCATTAGAGTCATATTTTTTATACGAAATTCTAACATATGACTATTTTCTGTAGTGAGGTATTGATAAAACGTGTTTGTTATTCTGTGTGAACGCTCAGTAATCTATCTGAGTGATTTATTCTATGTCTTCAGTAATTCATTTGTTGAGAGGACCAATTACTATATATATTAAAGTCGCTTACAATTATATATTTTCAAGTATTCGAGATTCGATTCGATTCGAAAAAAATTATTCGATTCGATTCTGAAATCACAAGGTATTCGAAAATGCCCAGCCCTAGTTACGGGTCGCCACCGTCAAACCCATGTACCTGAATTGAATAGCTGGTCAAGTAGACCAGACAGGGACTGGTAATCTGACGAGTGGCTGTGGTTCGTCTCTGGTTAAGCTTGTCAGAATAGCAGATAAAGATCAATTCCATGCTTTCGAAAACAAATAACTGGCTAACCGATCCCATACCCGACTTGAACTGGTAACCGAACGAGAGACCGTGGTTCGCCATATGATTAAACCGTCATATCAAATTTCTTCACCCCCGGGATACACATTTAAATCCTATAAAGAGCTGTGTCGTTTCTATTCTGATATGAACAAGTGAAATCACGGATTTGAAATAAACAACTTTTCAAAAACTGTGAAATGAATAGCAAATTCTCAGAACTTGAACAATACCTGAACCGTTCCTTTTATACAGTCGTCAATGTACATCATCGGCAACCTGGTATCGGGATTCAAATTACATTGAAAACTTCCATTATCCAGAGCGGAGTGAAATATGTCGACGGCGTAGTCTGAAATAATTTGTAAACGTATATATTATAGTTGTATCGTATGGTGGGTCAACATGAAATTTTGGCATTAAATCCACAACATACCATACCGACAAAATTTGGTACACCCGTAGTGTATGTACCGGGTTAGGGTTAGGTCATAATTTTATTTCGATTTTCCTTATTTCAGTTCTATTACGAGTTCGGAGACTGTCTGTGTTAGCCAAGTGAATATACCCCTTGCCCATAAGTTTCAGTTCCTTTACAAACCTTGATATAAAGTAGGCGGAAAAAATAGTTACCTCCATATTGGTACACACACTTCCGAAGCGCCCAAAAATTGGGCTGAACACAATAATGGTAAGTGGATTAGTATATGATATGTGAAAAGGATAAATGAGCGTTGCACATTAAAATAGATAATCAAAACTTACCAGTTGTTCCGCCACCAGGTTCCGTATCTGCTGAGATGATTCCCGGATATCTCAAACTCCGAAAGTCGACTCCAAACCGATGATGATAATACTGAAATAAAATTGAATGGAGTTGGAACAGAATTTAATCATTTACTGCGGGGTAGAGAAAAGCCGTTGGGACAGCATGGTCGTGACGGTTATGGGGCGGTTAGACGTTTTCATCTTGGATAAATTGAAAATCATAGTAATCCATTTACTTATAAATATCACGTTTCCATTTAAAATAATCATTTAAAACGTATAGGAGATTTCTTGCAACTGACTAGGTCAAAAATATTCGCGCTTTCGACTTGGTCGTACTTTAAGGGGACGGCCTTATTTTCAGGGAAACACGGTATTATCGTAATGTCCTTATAAAATCAAATTCCTCACCTCTCCCATCAATTCAGCATGAACTTTTGCAACGCCGTAAATAGTCTTTGGTCTTTGCACACAGATATCCGGAGTCGGGTCACGTGGAGAATCGGGACCGAAAGCACCGATTGTACTCGGAATGAATAACCGAAGATTGAATTCTCGAGCTGTTTCAAAAATATGCAATAATTAATGAAAAAATATGTTACCAATTTTAAAGACTTTGTATGCAACACTCTCACGCTTTGGCATCTCCGAACAAGGCCCTGAACAAGCACTCGTTGAAATCTAACGATACGAAAGGTTCTTTTATTTAGTACGACCGGTATATTTCCCAATCGGCATTGCCCACCTGTACACTTGTACTTCTCCATGGGTGAGGATGTGTGACCTGCGAGTCCAGATTGAAATAATTTTGACTTCAACTACGATTCCGCTCTCGAAACAATGAGATTTTGATAAAAACGTCTTAGCGTATGAAAACCTTCCCTGTTGCTAACCCTTAATAAAATTGACTATTTATAAGTGCATGTATAAAATGTAGATTTTTTGTCAATTCATTGTATATGCATTTCAACTCGGCGGTTGGCGCATCGCGCTAAGCGTCAGAAATACACTTTCCGTCGCACCTCTGTGATTAAGCAGTGTGGGTTCACAGGTACAAATCCTGTAAATATGTGCAAAATGACCTTCTCGCCGCCGTTGGTGGGTTCACGTAATCGCTGGTCGGTTCGGCTTCCGCCACCATCAAGGACATGCATCTCAATCAATAAATTGGTTGGACAGACATGGACCGGTAACCGGACGGGAGGCCGTGGTTCGTCTCAACGCCTTTTCTCTCCCCGGAATAAATATAAAAATCCTTATCAACTTACCAAGTTCCAATACGTTGTGAACAGATTGGATATTGACTTTCATCGCCAAAGGAACGTTGCTTTCTCCGATAGAGCTCAAGAGAGCGCTGTAATGGACAAACCAATCCGCCCCGTGGTTCACAACTAACTCTCGTAGATTACGGGTGTCCAGTACGTCTGCGAAGGCAAATGGACCTGAAAAAGTGAAAAGGATTACAGATTGTAAAAAATGGTCCATCAGCCTGTCTGGTTACGCATACGGATAGGATTATTTATGTTTACTACTCCAGAAAAAAAGGAAAATTTCGAGTGGTCGAGAGATCAGATAGTTAGATTATTCGTCTATTTATTAAACTCTTCTTACGTTTACTCAGAACAAGGCTAGTTAGCAGTTGGGGTGCATTGTCTCAATTACCTTTTCAATAGGTTCATCCATGTAGAGCAAGCTCGACTTTCGAGTAGCTAGTCAAGACACAAGTACAAATTAAGTAATGGCTTGATTAATATGCAATTCAACGTTACAGAAATGCATTTGTGTTAGTGTGCAGCAGGACTCTCAAATTACATAGTATATGTCATGGTATGCTCATTCCTGCTACAGCATCCTTGCATTATATATACGCATACGGATCAAGGAAGGGGAAAGGCATTGAGGAAGGATCGGGAGTTAACCTCTACTTATAGTTAGACTTGATTAACGTTATCAAATGACTGTAGGATACATGAAAAATGGTGACAAACTGTGTACAGTTCTGTTTAAAAAAATGTCATTTAGGTAGTGTTTAAGAATCTAAATACAACTAAAGGTAAAGAAAGAGAACGGGGTGAAAAAGGGGAGTTTGGAGAAAAGAGTCTGTGTGGGAAAGAACAAAGAACCATCACAAAAAATGTAAGTCGTATAATTATGAACTGTTTCGTCTAAGCTTCGAATAAATAGGTACATTTTCAATCAAATCTTAAAATTTAAAAGTAAATTGGTATCAATGATGAAGTACCTGACTCAAGTATATTCTGTGAAGGTTTCTTTATATCGGTCAACAAAACGTTTTCTCTTCCAAATTGACGTCGAAGACTTTCTGCCAATCCTTGACCAAGTTGTCCTAGACCTCCTGCAAGTAAAAGATTCGTTTAAGCAATTTGTATGAAATTTATACTCCACACACAATACGGAGTGCGCGGGTCCCGGTGTGGGTAGGAATATGATTAGTTGGACTCAGTGGTTCTTCAAACTTTTATGCCACGCCCCCTTTTTAGCGTTTGTCATGTCTCGCGCCCCGCCTCAAAAAGAACTAGCTAACAAAAAGCCACAAATAACAGAGAGTAAGGCGAAACACGTTGAAAATACGTGGATGGAACTTAAACATCTAAAATAAAGAAATGTAAGTATCCAAGTAAGACGAGCAAGATCAAATCTATTAAATATTTGGTACTCCTGAAGTATGCGTACCAAGATGTCGCACAACCTGAACACTAACCTGGTACACGACCTGAGTTCAGGTTGTGCGCATACTTCAGGACGTCCAAATATTTTTATTTTTGATTAGCCACACGCCCCTTCAAAAAATTGTTTACGCCCCCCTGCCCTGTGGTGCGCTCTCCATCTATTGAGAATTACTGCCCTAAATCGAGGTCATGTAATTGAAAATAAATTCATCTTCACAATTTTTTACCTTTCAACTAAGCACCAACACCACGATTAATTCTTCGAACTCTGGCGTCTATGAGCGAAGTTACTGTCTCGCCCCGAAGATTCGTGGCACCGTATCGGTAGGATAATAAACAACTTTTGACCAAAATTGGGTAGCCTTTCGAACATTTTAGAAGAAAGCAAATTTTATCGTGCAGTCAGAAAAAATGTTACATTTTGAAATAAATTTTGTCAAAAAGTGAGAAATTAATTTTTAAAGTAACTTCACTTTACAGAATGAGTACGCTGCCCGTATACATGATTGTAGTTGAATTTGATGATCTATATCTAGCATTGGAGCTTGGCCGATTGCGGCGCGTAGGTTGCAGTGGCCTAAGTCAACCCTGTTTTTATTGAGCGCACGAATTAATGACTGTGGTACAACGTGGCCGCGTTATACTATTTTAAAGTAACAATAATTATGCGTTTCTACTTACCGTAACTGCCGCATCCGAAGAATTAAATTTAAATGTAGAAAGTGACCATGGAGGGCGCTGAACACACACACGCGTGGCGACTTATACATCCGTGATATCGCCTACATTTATAATTATTAGTTTCGAAATCAATTAACAAATAACCTGTAATAATGACTCTCGGTTTCTGAACATCTTCTCTGTAATCAATGAAGCGTGACTTTCTTGTTGGGGACGTGGATGATTTTCTTGACGTTGACACCAATGAAGCATGTCTTGATGATGTAGTAATGAATGAAATATATTTTGCGTTACCGATAAGTACAGCTCCTCTTTTGGAAGCCAAACTAGCCATTTTCTGATCACAAATTGTAAATGAAAGTTTAGTCAGCTTCTCATCTCAGAGTACTACTGGACCAGATAGTAAACTGTGGTGCGGAAGTTCGCGAAAAATGTCGTGATCTCGTTATTCCTCTCTCAGTATGAATATTTTAATTATTTGATCAATTTTTAAAGGACCCTAGCGCTACTCGTGAGTCGCACTCATGATTTTGTACAGATTGGATTGTCTACGTTGCGAACATAAATATATATCACAATAATATTATTGTATTAGTAGAACTACACCGGATACAAGGTAATATTCCTGGACTCCCCGCCGGTGTGTTCACGTAGTCACTGGTGGGTTACGGCTTCCTCCACCATTAAGTCCATGCCTCCAAAAACAAATAACTGGCTAACTAACTAATCCCATACCTGACATGGACTGGTAACCGGACGAGAGGCCATATTTGCCATATGATTAAGCCGTCTTATCGACTTTCCTTCCCCCCGTGATAAATATGTAAATCCTATCCTAGTAACAGTCAATGCTGCAAAATCTCACTTTTCTTGATATGCTTTCCAAATATCACAGCTCCTAAATGCTATGCTGAACGAATTCGTTGCACTCTGACTATATATAACATTGCAAGCCCTTCAAAATTAGCCGTTAAGATACATAAAGACATACAGAACTGTCTGTTAAAAACCTCTAAAATCGTGTATGAAAAATTTTCTACGCTACTTTCCATACTTTTAATATATACTACGTTCTAAAGTTATATATATCATAGACTAATAGTATTAAACTCTGACAATATGTAAAAATTCAGTCATTCAACAAATTTTCAATATATATGTTATACAAGGAACGTTTCAAGTTTTTGAACTTCCAGCGGGCAAAGATAGACCTTGTATTGGTCAAACTTCAGAGTTTCGCTGTATACACCATTCTTACTTGATTTAGAAACCCACAAATAATGAATTTTACTGTCCAATAATAAGTAAAACGGTTAACTTTACACACAGTATAAATCAATCATCAAATCAATACCTAACTTCTTCGTGACACAAATATAAAAGCATTCTTATGTGTACATGAGATGGCATCAAATTGAATGATTATGCCAATAATTATGTAATCACGTGACTAGAGAAGTGGGAAGGTATAGCGTTTTAAATGTGCTGACATGCATGCAGTACATGCTTCTATATCTGGCATGGTCAAACTACGGCTCGTAGGCAAAACCCGGCCCGTAAGATAATTCAATCTGGCCAACCAAACTAAAACACAAATTTGATGTTTTAGCTAAAAAATAGCTCAAGGAATTTGTTGAGATGGCGATTAAATTTAGTTTGGACAAGAGGCCAATTGTTTTCCGCTTTTGCTTTTGTAATACTGTAAATATTGTTTATAAAATGTAACTTTTTACGTCGCACTCACGTGGCCCGGCAGTTTAAGTGGACAAAAATTTTGGGCTCTGGTCTATTAACCTTGCCCACCCCTGTTCTATATTATGCTATATAGAAAGTTCATATTTCTCGAGCTGCAGAAAAATTAGTTCTTCTACCTCAATCCTTTATATTTCATATGAATCACATTTTTAGCGCACTATTTTCACGAGCACATTCTGGCCCTAGGGCTCCGATTATGATCTATTTTATAGTAATATAACCAGAATCGTCTAATTATTGTGAAATTAAATATCAGCCAGAGTTTCGATATGTTCAACGTGTAAAAACTGACAAATCAAACCGGCTAACCTGTTTAAATTCGTTAAATTCTGATTATCAAATTGTAAATATTTTATTTACCAGGCTATAAAATCGGCTATACTACGCTACAGGAACCTCGCTACTTAGAATTGTTTTTTTCAACACTCGCCCACATCTTAGAAATAGCATGATTGGCCTTTGTCAAGGAGTGAGAATCTAGCCTTGTGAAGACGTGGTCGCGACAAATTTCTCAATTTTGTTTTATTGTTCTATTGTTTTAATGATTGATTGTTTTGGTCAAACGTTGATTAGAATGTTTATTCGTCTATCAAGTCTGATCATCAGATTCAGATATTTATTTTCACCGTGCAAAAATCAATGTAAGCAATAAACGCACATTATAGAATACAAAAAAACTAACAAAATTCATTCTTGAACCAATTATTGACCAGATAGTTTATGCTGTTTTTGTTCATTATATTCTCAATATTTTCAGTAATTAAGATCAAATGTTCAATGAAGTTTCAGGAACTTAAGGCAAAAGCAAAATTCGCAGGCTTCTAATTAAAAGAATTGATTCAACTGATGTAAAATGTAAATTTTCTATTTCAACTTTGCAGTATTTAGTATTGAAACAAACGGCAAAAATGGACGCCAATTGCGCAAATGGACGACGAATGCGCAAATGGTGTATTATTTCTAGAGTGATATTCATCAATCCGCCTACGTTATTGTGTTATCTGTTATATGATACTGAGATATCTTACACGCCCCCGATCACGTGATGGTTTTAAGCCAATTAAAATTTAGCAGAATCGGATGTCTTTAGCCTCCGGCGTATTCAAGGAAAACTTTGTGTCGTAATAGAAATCTTGTGGGCAAACGTGACAGATTATTTTTATATATTTATTACGTCACGAGACATAAGTATACCATAAGAATGCATTTATCTGGGTTAATCTTAATGGTGTTTTTAAACCACGTTCCCGCTTTACAACTAACTAAGTTTATTATTTGTTTGCGTATAAATTATATTCGTAATTTTGTGAATTTGTCAGCAAGCAAATTAAGTCCGATATAAATATATATATACCAATGTTAAATCAACTTTTTTCACGTTATTCGTTCCAAACAATTCTATGTATAAGCCCCTACTAATGGACTTACTATGAATTTGAGTGAGCGAACACGTACTACTTCTTTTAGCATTACCTTTCCATCTAAAATCTGTACGCTTCAAACCTTACTTGAGGTTTTGTTTGCTCTCCCCAATTCTATAATCAGTTTTATTTATTTTGTTTTTATCAATTATTTTATCGTCTGTTATGCTGATTATGGAGTTGAAAAAACTTTCTTATACTCAACTTCACCACGACAACTTGGTTGGACGTCGGTTTATAGAGTAAAAATGTCGGCAATGTAATATTGTTTCATCCCCTAAAAATGCATTGCAGTTCAAACTACTTTCCAAATTTTCAGCCGAATGAAATGTTACGTATTCAGGTACCATTTATCAACGGCCAACTGCTCACTGCGGCATATATAGTCCCGACGATTATTTTGACCTTCTGATTTCCACGGGAATTATGCACCGATCATATTTGAGGAAGCGTAATCAGCAGTTGAAATTATTTGTAGAGTATTCATTAGGTTACCTACAGTTTCTTTCACCAACTGGGATTCATACAGAATGCATAGTCATAGTCAAGTTTATTTTTTCCCATTCAGCAAAAAATAACATACGAAATTAACAAAATATCAATCAAGATCAATTATTTTACATAACAGGCAATGTTTCAACCGTAATTGCGTTTGTTTTAATCTATATAATTATGCCATTAATACATATTTCACGTCGGGTCAACACGGCTTTCAAACTTATCGGCATTTTAGTATACTTCATATTATAAATCTTAGCGCCATGCAATCGTTAGCGCTCTCTAGTGGCAATATGTCAAATAAAATATGATTCTCAAGGTGGCGATAGACGAAACTGTTACTTTTGATTGACAGGCGCCAAAATTTTATGTGGTAGGCCTGATATATTATGTTATCGTAGTGGAGCGTTTGAGGAATACAGGTCACAAATTATAAAAAACAACATCATTTATTAGCACATTGCGAGTATTGGCCATTGGGTATATTTTATATATCTGTTTGTGCTAATTACTGTTTTGCGATTGAGTCTGAATTTGTTTTGTTCGCACGTCTGCACGTTGTAGATATTAAAAGGATGTCTGACACTGGCGATCGAAAATCAAGCTGTGGCTCATCCTTAACTTGTCATGCTTTAAGGTTAAGACCCGGCCAGAACATCACAGATGAAATTGTCAGATGTGTGAAAGAAAATGAACTGAAAGCTGCGTTTATTCTAACATGCTGTGGAAGCGTCACTAAAGCAACTATTCGCATGGCGAATGCCAGTTCAACAAACACAAACGAAATAAAAACTCTTGATGGGAGACACGAAATTACATCTCTTGTCGGAACTGTTTGTAATTCTGGTGATTTCCATCTTCATGTCACACTGGGTGATGTAGCAGGAAACGCTATAGCAGGTCACGTCATGGGGGATATGGAGGTTTTCACAACTGCTGAGATTGTACTTGGTGAATGCAACGGCCTGTCGTTTACCAGAGAATTTGACAAAGAAACAGCATTTGATGAATTGGTAATCGGGAAAAGAAATTGAAGTTGTGGTCGCTCTGCTCAATGGTACCACCAATGAGTTTTTTTTCATAATTATGAGAGATTTGATGTTTGGGTACTGGGAATTTCTGCTCTAGAGTTGGTTGGTTGATTCTGCTCCTGGTTGCATATATCAAATCGCTTAATCAGCATAGTTCTGTAGTTGTTTGTGCAAATTTATAGAATGGTGTGGTTGCGGTTATGATGATGTGAAACTGTACTTGTGTTACTTAGAAATATATTTGTACACCAATGACTGATGACATTGCTATTGAATCAGCTACTTGTACCCACACCAGGGGGACTCCTGAATAAACCTTAGTCCGATCTATAATCCAGCCACCTATTACATTGATTGCCATACATCATTTTACAATTTTGCAACAAAATTCTCCCAGGATGTCAGAAAACAGTTAAAATTTGACTCCAGCGATCCATGTTCTTATATATATATGGAAAAGCATAACTTCAAAATTCCACCCCATGAGCTGGTTTGCGGTACTCCCGTAGTATGTGTACCAGGTTAGACCATAATTTTATTCCGATTTTGGGACTGTCTGTGTTAGCCAAGTGAATAAATATACCCACTGCCCATATGTTTCAGTCACTTTACACAACTTATGTAATAAAATAGGCAAACAAAATTAGTTGCCTTTGTATTGCTGCTCATATCGGGAAATGTTTAATGCTATCCTGTCAACCAATTAGTTGAAGGTACAGCTATCCTGTCAACCAATTAGTTGAAGGTACAGCTAGCGGCAAATAAATTAAGTTTCATTTGTGATCCATGGTTTTGCATAAAGAAGAGGTCGTACATCAGCACACAGGGATACAAATCATAATTTAGACAACTTGCTATCAATAAAACTATTTAATATATGGTCATTTTGTATGGTTTTTCAGAATATCATCCCACTTATTTGAATGACCGACCACACTAACTACCAGACTACTACCACAAAAGATTATTTGTTAACTGGAATTTATTTCATGGTACAATCTAGCTCATCATCATAAGGCGAAGTAGAACGATTGAAAATTTCTTCACATCTTTAGGTCTATGAACTCATTCCAAGATATTAAGTTTATGTGCTTATTAGTTTAAATGCTTTCACGAGTCCTTATGGACCAGTTCCCACATATCAAAACCTCTTATTGCATCCCCACACTAGCAGACATAGGACTCTACTGCTTTCTTCCATGACTCATTTCTAAGTTGAGCCTTCAGACATCGCCCCCAATATTAGTAGTTAAATCTCTGACATGGTCCTGCACTGCAGTATCTAATAGGATGAAAATATCTTGACATCCTGATGAAACAGTTTCCAATGCTTTGCTCATCTCATCTGCATGCAGCCTGTGTACAAAGTTGAAAGAGAGAGCATTAGAAGAGGCAAATGAATCCACTTTCATAAACTTATTGCTTGAGGATATTTCCATCTATCAAAAAACACAATAGCCAAAGTCAAAATAAAACCCCCAAAATTTGTAATACTCGGAACAAGGCCTTGAAATGGAGCTACTTTTATTTGGAAGGACCGGGATATTTGTGGATCCATAGTGAAGGGAAAGCAATATGAATTCGCTTGCCATCCCACCTTTGATTAATGCACCAGGGTTTGCAAGTTTGAATCTCAAGGGGGGGGGGATAGTTTTGTGCATGGGTATTGCCACCGTAGCGTGGTTGCTAGTCAGTTACGGCTTCCTTCAACACCAAGTCCATGCATCTGAAAACAAATAACCGGATTAATCCTATACCCGACCTGGACTGGTAACGCCGCAGTTTGCCATATGGTTGAGCCTTCTTATTGTCTACCCTCTTTCCCGGGATAAATATGTAAATTCAATTTTTTTCTTACCTTCCATTTTGTTCAACATAGATTATCTGATCAAGCTTAGGTAACATAGCAGCCATCAGTTCCGGACAATTCGAATTTTCTTCAACTCGATTTATATCTTTCAATGCAATACTTTTATGGACACTCACAGAACATGCACAAACAAAATCCTGTAACAGAAAGTCAAATATGTAGTGTATTCAGTTCTTTATAAACAAGAACAAAGTTTCCATTACAACAGTACTTTGTTGTATGAGTCAAGCACTTCAAAATTAAGACACCATAGCAGTAGCAGACTAAGCAGCAAGTCACACAAAACATGAGTAGAGATAGAATGTCAGCCTCGGAGAAACAAGGTCAAAATGGTGAGGGTCAATAGCGCCACCTAGCGACGTTACATCATAAATATATATAAAATTGCAAGTGATAATGCCTTGTACACCCATTTGGGATGATTACCTATCTGGTCACCATAATGTGCTGGTATTAAAATCAGAGGATAAGGTTTGTCATATGAATAGACTGTATTATTGGCTTTCCCCTTTGGATAAACGTAAATTTATTCTGAGGCTGTAAACTGCAAAAAAGATTCTAAATTCTGTCACTCCAATAAATTCAAAATATCAAATACCATCATTATGAGCTACTGAATATCTTTTTCGAAAGTAATTTGCTAGAAATCTGACTATTTAATCATATAAATGATCCACAGCAGCGGAAAATCTAAAATATTCACCTTCAATGCGATTCCCGCATCTATCAAAGCCAACGTAGCAGCATTCACACAGACACAATAATTACTTCCATCAGAATGTAGGACTTGCAGGTAAATATCTATCTGGGATCTGTAAGGTAAAAAGACAGCTTGAGCAGGAGAATCTATATCAGTGGTTCATACTCTTGAAGCCGCTCCCCTTTTTAGACGCCCCACCTCAATAATAACTACCTAGCTAACGCAAAGCGACAAATATTAGAAAGAATATTAGAAATGTGGATGGATCGTAAATGTCCAAAATAAGGCGGGCAAGATGAAATCTAACAAATATTTTTAAATAGCTCCACGCCCTCTTAGAAAATTGTCCCGCTGCATCGGAGAGCCACTTCTCTATATAAAGCCATACCAAATTGGACATTTCGTTGGAGCTGGAGCCAAGCTTACCATAATATCTGGAGCTAGAGCTGACATAAGTTTTAGTGGGTCCAGCTCAATCAGAAACCTTCACATCATGGGTCTTCTGCTTTCCTAAAACTGATGTTTCGTGGTAGTTTTATTTATTAGTGTTAGAATTTTCAATTGGTCCATTTTTCATCTGACCATGAGATATCAAATGCTTAATATGAGAAATTTTCAAATGTAAAATCATTCCCAAAATCAGGTGTTAAGTACTGGTATATGGAATATTGTGGAATTCGAGTATTCAATCCATTTTTGACATGATTGATTACCGATTTCAAATTTTAACACGCAACTTTTCTCACCTGGGATATAATTCAGTTAAAATAGCAGCTTCAAAAGTCTGCTTAATGTGCATAGACAGCTCCTGGCCTTTTCTGTCCCCACGAGAACGATGTTTTCTCTCAGCAGTACTGAATGTTGCTTGACTGTATTCACAGTTCAGAAATGCTTTGTCACTGAGAATCTGTATATAGATAAATAATAATAAAGAAAGTATTCAACTATCTTTTATCTTCATACAAGCGAAATCAGGGTTTTTCAAAGATATTTCTCAGGTAAATTTAATGACAGTTTACGGTCCTTGAACCAATAGCCAAGACCAATCACAGCAAATTTCCTCAAATCGCATAGCTGCTATCTATACTCAACTCTTGAGTTTTGTAAACAACAATGTCTTCGAGTCCCAAATAAAAGTCTCTAGGGCGATTAGTCAAGTGATTTCGTTAGATGATTAAAGTAAATGGAAAAAGAGGCTCAAGTATCTGTACAGCGTGACTGCTGGTAATTCCCATTTCTATCTTCCACAATTTTTAGCTGTGGGAAAATAAGAATATTAATATTTTTGAAGTTGTGCCAAACATTTAAAAATTAGAATGTCAGATTAATTGTTAAATCTTTGTAGTTGAGCTTCTCGGCCATACGCGCAAGTCACGACTTTTCTTGTGAATCTGACCCTTTAGTTCGAGAAAACCCTGGCCTAGTCACCACTGATTGAAAATAGTAGGTCCGCATTCCCCTTTCTAACCGTATATCAGTTGTTTGCCCAGAGCCCTGAGAGAAAGAGAAAAACTCCAGAACACATACTGTCAGGTGGTCCTAGACTTACGACGTTGTTCCGTTCTTGTGACGCGGTGTAGCCGGAATTTCAGTGCAAGTCGGAACAACCAAAATGGGGAACAGTGTCACTGAAACTGTGTACCATGTGACTGAAGCTTAGTGATTATTTGTTCATAATCGTAATAGTTCGCAATTGTCCACGTCATTCACGATGTAAATAAAAAAAACAATGAGTCCAAAGCACTGATTTCTTGATCACAATGATCCAGTTTAGGGGCTTAGATATTACAGACAGTACAGTATTATCTTTTATATTTTTATGGAGTGCGTAACCTCGAAACAGTGTAAGTCGCGACCGTTGTAACCAGAGGACTCCCTGTACTGGCTTTTACACCCCTAAATACTCTTCAAAGCTTCGTGAAGAGCTTACACCTCAACATGAAGATTTCATGACTCAACTCAATCCTTATTATCTTACCTGTCCTCTCATATTAGATGATGGTTCATGTGGTCCATAGACTGCAGCTAATATCTGAAAATTTATGGGTTGAAATTAAAAAACGGCTCGTTGTTATACAATGATGGGGATGAGAGGCCATGGTTCACCAAATGATTAAGCATCGATTATGAATGAAATTCTTATCCCAATTAATGTTATAAAAATAAAAAAAATAATAACATTTTCAAAGTTATCACATATTCTACTCAAACTTATTGTGAAGTGCAAATGGACAAATGATGTCTGTGACATTTGTGATATTATGATATAAATATTTATAAATTATATGTAAATTGCAATAAAGAGTTCATTTAGGATTGTAACAGGCTCGGCGGTTGGCACATTAAGCTTGTCATTACATTACTTATAACCAGTGGTGGGATTCAATATTTTTGTCAGCCGGTTCCATTACTAAAGTCATATTTTTCACCTGGTTCTGTTAGGATAGGATTTACATATTTATCCCGGGGGAGAGGAAAGCCGATAAGACAGCTTATCCATATGGCGAACCACGGCCTCTCGTCCGGTTACCATTCCAAGTCGGGTATGGGATTAGTTTTACTGTATTGTTTGTTTTCGGAAGCATGGACTTGGTGGTGGAGGAAGCCGTAACCGACAAGCGGTTACGTGAACCACCCAACGACGGCGAGGAGTCCAGCATACATAAGTCATAAGTACATACATAAGTCAGTTACTGACATATGATTAGGCCATCTTATTAACTTTACTCTCATCTTGAAATAAATTTGAAAATTTTTTCCTTTATCATGCCTCAGCCAAATGCACCACACCTCAAAACTTTTATGAAGGACACTTTTGAGCTTCAATTTATACCAAGAAATCGATTCGGAATACAGATGGACCTGAATTGATCAAGGTCTGGCCAAAATAAACTAAATAAGACAGTGAATCCCAAAGCAGGAAATTTCCGTTCATTTGAAAAGTTTTTTTTCGTTAAGGAGCTGTTTGAGTAGAACTTAGATAAAATAAGTCTTTATAGAAAAAAATATAACCAATTTCATGTACCTTAGTGTTCCCTTGCTCTAAATAGGACGAACCGTCGGCTTGTGAAAACACTCCAAGACGACAACGAATCCGGCGTAGTTCTGTTGGTAATCTGCCATCAATTCTATACCCTTCATCAGTTACCAATTCAAGACCAGCCATAGTTATTAACTGGATTAAATATAAAGAATAAAATATGAAAATGTTCTGTATTCGAACTTTAAAAACATAATGGCTTTAAAATATTTTTCCTGTACTATTTTTTATACAACGTATTGTTTTATACAACGTATATTGTTGCACTGAGCAGGGCTAGGTAGGGAAGTATAGTCTGGAAGGACACAAATATTTCTTGTTCTGCATTTCCTACCCGATTTTTTATATTACACCCTTGGTATTTTGAGTATTTGAGTATTTTAACGTAATATGTTCGCTGTTACATAATGTAAATTCACTGAGAAATGGATGGCACTGTGTCTGCGAGACAGAATCAGATTTTCATCTAGGTTTGGTCAAAAATGCTTAAATTTATACGAATAGATAAATAAAACGAAACAATATTAAAGCTGCAAATGACGAGGGTTTGCAAAAAACATCAAAAATACTCAGCAACAAGTGTATGGTTATTTATGATTTTTTTTCATGCCTCATTACTTATGCGTAACACTAGCAAAGAATCCATTAAAGATTGGACAATTAGTGTAACATAGTGAGGAAGAAATAAAAAATTCCAAAATCGATAGAGTGATATTTTTAAAAAAAGCTTGGGGACCACAGGGTCATGTCTGCCACTTCATTTAGTCATATAGGATCGAACAAATGATTTGAATATTTCTGATAAAATTGAACAATATAAAGAAAGCCTATTAAACGAAGTGGAAAAATTAATTAATCACTGATTAAAATAAAACAAAATTTGGCCAAGAAATATTAAGAACTGACATCATAACAAATCTGGGTTGCAACAGGACTTTATAAACACACTGTTTATCAATTAATACTTTTGCATTTACTGAGTGAAGGTATCATATTAGAAATGAACAGGAAAATGAAACAATTTTGGCATGTAAGCACACAAGAATCTGAGGACAAAATTAATTTCAAAATATTAGGTTTTTGAAACCAAGAAAAACTGCATTTTTGGCATGAATTGCAATATCATATACTTCACGTTAATAAATATTCTGTCAGACAAATACAGTATAAATGCAGGGACGATTACACTGTAAAATGCAGTTTTGTGAACTTAGTTAAATAGCAACATCAAAATAACTGAACAATTAAAATTAAGATATAATATAATATTTGCTCTGCAATGTAATGTAATTTCACTGTACGCATAGATGCCCAAAACATGTACAACAGTTCTTCATGTGCAATACATTTATTATTTTGCTTTCTTTTGTAGTCTTTACAGTATTGAACATTGCACCGTATTGAACTGATAGAAACGAGTTAAAATCAAAACTAGGTGTTAATATTGAAAAGCAGGTCACACAAGTGTTTAAAATATTGCAATGCAGCCATGGACCGTGAACGTTTAGGAAACCACTGGTCTTTTATCATATTCCATACACAAACTTTTAACTTCAGGCCAAATTTAGAGTATTTCCATTCGACAGGGATGCCAGTATATTGCGCTTAATATTCCTAGGACAACAGCAAGTGGGATTGCACAAAACAAAAATAAGAAAAGCTCTTATAATTATAGGGTTGCAAGAAAAAGGGGTAAATGCTTAAATTTCGCAGGCCCTACCAATTAGATAAATACTGAACAACGATATCCAGTTTAAAATCAAACTAATTCCAATTTCCTACATTATTTACATATTAAAAATTCTGAAGTGGCAAGATGAGTGACATTACAAGAGATAATAAAATGCTGATTGAAATCTCATGGAGGGTGAGGTTAATTTGTTAGATCATGGGTGTGTAACCTGCGCCCCGTGAGCCACACAAGGAAGGCGCAGCCCGCAAAAGTTTTTAATTTAGTTTAATCTGATACGTGCAAGAATCCCAAGTCAATACCAGAGTCCAATTTTTTTTTTTATCTATGCTTATGACGTTACAATGCCCCTAAAACAGCTAGCTTGTGCGAACAATGCATGTTGTAAGATAAATACCAAAATTTTTGTGCCTGCATCGCCAGAGAGTCTATTTCAATAAAGGTGTGGCCCGCGGTTTAACCCAGTTAGTTGTATTTGGCCCTCCAGTATTAAAGGTTGCACACCCCTGCATTAGATAATAATGTTCAAAGGAAAGATTTAAAAAATCTTTATCAATCTAGCTGTGGTGCTAATTATTAAATGAAAAACCATATGCATAAAATTATGTAATGAATCAGCAATTGCACAAAATTATGTAATGAATCAGCAATTGCACAAAATTACTGTTATTAATATTATAAAATCAACTCATTTATTTCACTTGAAAGAAATAAAACAAAGTCGAATCGTCAATTCCAAATCTGGTTGGAAATTTGCCGGATACTTTATCATATCAATAACTTCTATGTTACATTTTTTCCCAAATGTGCCCTGAAGGTTCTCAATCGTGATGCAGTGAGGTGGACCTTTGCACTTTGACATATCATAAGTGATAGATTCCATCAAGATTTTTGCTTTTGGCTTCATCAGACTGAAGATTAAGTCTGTGTATTTTTGCTGAGTGGGAATATTTATCGCGACGTAACTTCCGCGGTCCCAGAACCCATCAAACTGACCACATAATTCTGGTTTTAGATCAAAAATATCACCTCTGTAAATAGTAATATTCTTCTCCTTACATTTGTAAACCACGAGAGAGCTATCAGAACAGGTTGATTCTGAGTATGTCAAGTTATTTTCTTCAAAAAATGCTTCGATTCCAATTTTTGAAAACTCAAGACCGACCACCTCTAATCCTTTTTCTTCCAAGAAAATCAAATCCATCGTTTTTCCACAAAGTGGAACGAAAACACGTCCAGTTGTTCCATTTTCAAAAAGTTTCTCAAAATGTTTCACAAGCAACTGACTGTAATTTTTCCTATGAAATTTCGGGTCTTGATCTGCTGACCATTTCCATTCATCTACGGCCACTTCTCTCCTAGGTAAAGGATTAGTTTCCATGTTTGTAGAATATAGTGATATTTTACTTTCTAAGGTCTGTGATTATATATAAAATTAAGTCAATATATATGAATATTAATAAGACTTAGCACCTAGTTATGAATGAAGAGCTTTCTTGACCTACATTATTGAAGTTATTCATATCATGAAATACTATATTGATCACTGGGGTTAACATAGGTAAATAATCGTGAAAAACATCGTCAATTCCTTTGAGTGCGATCAGAGTTATGTGCGTATAAGCCTTAGTTTGGCAACTTTTTTTCCGAGTTTTAAACTCTGCTTATATGTGAGGATATACGGTAGTACTATTACTCGTTTATACTAAATCATGATATGAATACAAGACAAGGAAAAATATAAGTCAAATCATCCTGCATAGTGCAATTATTTAGAAAAAAAGTTTACATATTTAGTGCATGTAAATACAGTAGAATCAACCAAAAATTTCAAACACAGATATTACTTCATAGTCTATGAAATGGAAATATAATTTGAAAACTTAAAACATATGAAACTGGTTTTGAAGAAAATTGGACTTTATATTCATATTCTATAGGAAGCATTTTGACTAGTAAACCATTCAGAGTGAGACAAGTATTTATTACAAATACTTATAAAAAGCAAGCAATTTAGAAATATACAGGTGTCCAAAAAGTTTCTCCCGATTTTATAGTATCAACAAATAAAAATTTCTTTGTCTTTGTATATTAATCGATCTTATTGTGCTTGTAGTTCTCATTTATTTTATTTATAAAATAAGATTTATTTTGAATTAAAATTGGTATTACTATAAAATACACCGACATTATTTGGACAAAAACGTGAATAAATTTGATTTTAATAAGAAATAGACGTACACCTCTTGCTTTTGATTGGCTGCACTACCCTTCCCACAATCAAAACAACAAACATTAATTTTACTTAATAAATCAGAATGATACTACAGAATTTTAACTAATTTATGTTCTTTAATAAATTAACATGTTAATCAGAAACCAGGATTAAAAGTAAAGTCGTAAGTTGTTCAACACTTCATGACTCTCTATATCATATCTGATACACAATGGTCAATTTAAAACTTTATTTCATTGAAAGAAGACAATAGGGAAGAGTCATAATCATATCTCCTGCATTGAAAACGGGATGTGCGAGCATCAGTGTTCACTATTAGCGCACTTTTTTGCGAAAATTGCGAAGCACTTTCGCAACTTTTTTTAGGGACTGCGAAATAGCACTTTTTTCCGATTTTGAAGAGAAATAGCACTTTTTTCCGATTTCGAATGGAATAAAAATTCAAAGTTAACAAATATTTTCGAGTATTAAGTTGACAAATAAGTAACATACTAGTACTTTTGTAACTCAATTCTGCATATCATAACGATATTTACCGGAATTCTAACCTATGAGATGCAGACATAGGAGATAAAGCTTTTGCATTAACGGCAAAATTCTTGTTTATAATATGATTATTATACAAGCACACCGATTCCGCTTCTCCCGCAAAAAACGCTCCGGTGATTGATACGCAGTGCGTGTTTCTTTGAACGAGAGTGGTCATGTGACTATCAATGATATCGATGAATTCAAAATGACTATAAAAGTGTTACGTGTTATAGTCACTTTGGATGAATTGTGACCAAACTGCACGATTTTCAAATCAGACGAAACTTTTAGCAGCATGTCACAGATTTGCAAAATCACCAAATTCACAAAATACCATTAAGTGCCATTTTATTGTAATCACAATGTTGAAAGGACGTGGCATTTTCCGGAATTTTGCGATATTTACACAACTATTTCTCATTGATATGCGAGGTTGGGTGGGCAAAATTCAATATTTTTTTTGAATCGAATAAACGTGGTGGAAACATTAAAAAATCGGCAACAAAGCCTTTTTACTGGTTAATTCCGTTGTAATCGCTAATTGTTCTTGTCACCGATCGTTTTGGCGGCGATATCCAGGTTTTGGGTAATCTATATTCCCGCCCTCTCTTTATTACAAATATGAATTCTTGTGGGTCGGCGGACATCGAAGTTTTATATTTCGGGTTTACCCGTTCGTTCACAGCTGTTGCCGAATATATTTTATTTACGGAATTTGCAACTTGACGATTTTGATGATGTCATGCCCTAATTATTACTGCTTAAATGCCTCAAAATACAACAAATGTAATCATTTTCGACGATAACAGGCGCAACAATTCGTAAACGAGCCGTTATAACGAAATTCGATTGATTTTACCTCTCTCTTGTTTACAATTTTAACATCCCGCCGGCCATGTATGGTCGAATAAAATGTTCACATATTCGAAACATGACTTGGCCAAGGATGGAAGGGATCACTAAAGAGCTAATAGAAAGTACATACGCGAGGGTATGATATTAATATCGAGAATATTTGTGAGCATATCACAGGACGGAAATATTTTGCACCCGGCTGTTTGTTGGCAGAACAACGATACGCTAAAGTTAATTGATCGAATACAGGGAAGTATTTATTTATCATCTCACTTGCGAACATCGAGGTTTTGGCGGAATTGTACGATCATGTTGTCTTTCTTAAATATTAACTTTTTCAATAAATGTTCATTTTTGTTTTGCGTCTTTATTATATGTCGGGTTTTCATTTATTTTAAATTCGAAATTGTCCGAAATACTCCAACAGGTGTATAAGTACAATAATAATAGTACTTACCAGGGAAGTTTAATACACAAGATGTGTAAAGGGCGTCGTAACTCCCGTTTATTAATTATAAATTTTTTTACATTCTGCTTAAAAAACAACGCACGTAACTCTCGCTACCAAATCTTTTTGTTTTGTATGGCATCGTCTTGGCGACGAATTTATTGCCGACTGAATTTTAATTGTGTTTTAAGATAAGTTATTTTCTGTTTGTTGGTTTCTAAACTTCACAAACTTGGGTAGCAATTACTATTATCGCGACTGGATGTCCGATATCTGAGAATGCGTAATTCTCTTTCAACATTAATTTTCAGGATATCAGCGGTCATGTGGTCGAATAAAAATTATTTATCAAATGGATTGGTATTTCGAGACACTCTCAAAATTATTTGGGATCCACTATCATATCATTCGTTTATTTTTTATATTCATGTTTTTCTCAAGAATCACCCTCGTTATATTTAGTGTACCTTCGCAAAAGAAAACTCTTTGGTGTCATCGTTCCTATTAGTGTAATTGAAATATATGGAAACCTCGCAAGTGGCGTTGTGATGCGAATATTTGATACTAGGTCAGCAGCATTACAAAGAGTGCTATTTATGAATGCTGCAAGTACATGACATTACTAAACATTTTGCCAATATATGATGTTTCTGCCCGATTTAAACTAACTCGCACGCAAACCAAGGCATGTCCACATTTAAAAATTATTTGTTATTGGGTAAGCTCTGAAATAGTATAATATAAATGTAAATGAGAAATTAGGTCACGATAGCTCACGAAACGGGAGGATTCTTGTGTAATATTTCCGAGAAAAAAGTTTGAAAGGAAAGTAGGTCAACCTATCTCCTAAAACAGGGGAGTATCTCACGGTAATATTTCGGAGGGAACGTAGGTTAACCTATCTTTTAAAACAGTGGGCGGCGACTTTCAAAGTGGTTCAAAATCACAAATTAATAATTATCAGATTAGGTTTAGGGGTAAATCGAAAAGTTGAATTTCCAGCGCACCTAACCCTAATTAGTTGATTGCTATTTATATTTGGGGGGGGGGGGATTATTTTGCACAGGATTTGTACAAACGATCAACCCTGTAACTAATATGGTTTTCAGCCTGTCTCGTGTCTGTTAGATGGAAAGAGTAACAAATGTGAAGTCTTTGCTGTTTACGCGAGTAAGCAACTGACACCGTGATATATTGCATGAAAGTTTTGTCGGGCAGGTATTAGCAGATGTCATTTCGTTGCCGATGAATTCGCTTGTTTTAATTAAACATGAATTCGCCCAAAGGGAACTTGGAAAAGGCTTCTCATTAATTCATAATATTAACCGGAGGAGCGCTTTTTCGAGTATCTATGCCGTTTTAAATGGGTTATATGAAAGGCTAGGGCACCTAACTTGTTAAAATCGGCAAAAGCACTTTCGCACTTTTTTTTTCGACTGCGAAGCACTTTCGCACTCATAATTTGCTTAGAGTTAACACTGGCGAGCATGGTCATTGTATCAACAACTTTAATTTGACATTTTGACCCAAAAGTGCTTTGTAAATTTTCTAAGGTTATGCAATGTGGAGGTCCACCGTATCTCGACGTGTCATAGGTGAAAGTCTCCATTAATATTTTCGCCTTTGGTTTCATCAGTTGTAAAATAAGATCAGCATATTTCTGCTGAGTAGGGATATTGATTGCGACATAACTTCCACGATCCCAAATGCCATCAAATTGGCCACAGACATCTGGGTTCAAATTAAACATATCACCTCTGTAAATAGTGATATTTTTCTCGTTGCATTTGTACTGCACCAAAGGCTGATTTACAACATCCATTTTCTTGTAGGTCAAATTGTTGTCTTTGAAAAACCCTTCAACTCCGATTTCTGAGAACTCCAATCCAACAACTTCAAGCCCTTTATCAGCTAGAAATATCATGTCCAGAGTTTTTCCGCACAGCGGAACAAAAACGCGGCCTGTCTCACCATCGGCAAATAAGCAGTCGAAGTGTTTCACCAGCATAGGCGCGTATTGTGTCCTATGAAAAGGTGGGTTTTTATCTTCATTCCATATCCACTCTGTAGGAGCGAGTTCTCCCTTCTGCATCTCTTTTGATTCTGACATTTTAAATATAACTAATAATTAACTGTTCTATCTGTTTTAAAATAAGCATCAACATATTCATAGTATTATTACAGAAAATATATGCATATTTTTTTGTCTTACGAATAAGATATTTTTTTATTGATCAGGAGGTAAAAGTAAACAATATTTTAGCGATTATTATATACAATATTCATTTATACTAAAATTAATCATAAAATTGATCAGATTCTTGAAATGAGCAGTGGTATGCTCAAAGTAGGTTTAATATTGACTTGCAGCACATAGAAGCAGACAATTATAAAGATTTATACGACCACAACAAAGTCAGAAATTTCTAAAAATGGAATGAGCAATTATTGACATAAAATCTGATCTAAATATATTGTTGATACTGATAAATTGCACGTGATATGTAAAAAAATGATTCATTATACAGCTCAGAGGCACTGTTAAACTAGAATAAAGCTAATAGCTGAGGCGGCTGTTCAGACCAAATAAAACTTGTAAAACTCATACACATTTTTATGTTGAAAAATTGAGGACTATTATGGCCAGAACAATATAATTCTAAATAGATAGAGCAAATTCTGTCAAACACACTCTACTAATTTCTGTGCTAGATTGCAATAAAGTTATATCAAACAAATTATGCTTCATGTCAAAAAGATGGCCAAATATTTCGAAACGGTAGAAATTAAACTTCTATTGATAATCTCCATGCCTAAGTTCAGGACTGTACTTTTACAGCGAACCTTTAACTTTTGGCTCGAGTAAATATATATTAATTGTCCAATCCATTTTCAAATTCGGTATTGGAGGTGTAGATTCTTTTGTTTCAAGCAATTCATAAGAGTATCTTTTTCCTAAAGTTTCTCTCAAAGAATCTTCAGATAAGTAGTGTGGTGGACCAGCATATTTTGTGCCATCATAATAAGCCCCCTGTAGAAGATATTTTGACGTGTTTTTCATTAATTTAAACATAATTTCTGCATATTCCAACCTCTGGCCCATATTTATAGCAATAAAACTTCCACGATCCCAAAATGCATCAAATTGGCCACAAATTTCAGGTTTAAACTTGAAAAAATCTCCACGGTAAAGTGTTATTGCTTTATCCAGACATTTGTAAACAACAAATGGTTCATTTTCCAAATCATACTTCGTAAATTTCAAGTTATTTTCTGCAAAAAATGATTCCACTGCAACTTCTGAAAACTCTAAACCAAAAACATCATGTCCTAAATCAGCAAAATAAATGAGATCCAATGATTTACCACAGAGTGGAATGAATATCCGTCCAGTTTTGCCCTCGCTGAAAAGTTGGTTGTAAAATTTTTTGACAGTGGAATGGACCTCTTGCACATGAAAAGGCGGATCCTTCTGGCCAGACTTCCAAAAATAATCGTCCCAACCATTTGTTGTAAGGTTGGTTCTTGATTCCTCATTGCTTGACATTCTGCATCAAATAAAAGCGAAAAAACCACTGCTGTGATGAAGCGTTTAAGATCAATTCAATTGAGACAGATTACAGTAATCTGCCCAGCTTAACCTGATGGTAGAATTTGTTTTCTTTTTCCTAGTATTATTAATAAACAAGCATTATTTATATCCATATTGTAAGAGCATCAGTTCATCATGTTCGATATTGTACATTTAAATATAATTTTATAAAAATAATGAAAAATAAATAAATAGCAGTATAGCAACTGGTTCACCTAATTGCACATAATGGCTATTGAATAAAGGGTACTCCTGTAGTATTGTATGACCAGGTTAGGGCCGAGCCATAATTTCATTCCGATTTTTCTTATTTTAGTTCTATTACGAGTTCAGGGACTGTCTGTGTTAGCCAAGTGAATTTTCCCCTGCCCATAGGTTTCAGTCTCTTCACACAACTTGATGTAAAGTAGGCAAACAAAATTAGTTACCGCCATATTGGTACACATATTTGTGGAGCGCCAAACAAAGTATTTATACATAATTTTTTTAATAAATTGGGTTCCCTTTTAAATTATAGGATGCCCAGATGCCTTTTGGGTTGACAAATGGGGATCAAAAGTTAGGATTGGTTCACAAAAGGGCAGAAATTACTATAAACATTCCACAAATTTTGAAAACAGCTGAAATTTTATATGATAAAATAGTCAACTCGCTAACAATAAAAAGAATGGCCTTTTTTGCAGCTTTGTAATGGAATGGAATATAGTAAAAGTAGCCCATGCATTAATATTTTCGCAAATCACTTAAAGATGTTAAAACGCCGAGAACTACTATTCAATGTATGGCCATGCATTTATATAGTGCAATATTATAAGACGTTGGTTTCCAAACGGGGGGATGGGGCCCCCTAAAAGGGCCATAACCACGGCCTCTGATCCAGTTACCCGTCCACGTTAGGTATGGGATCACTTAGCCTGTTATTTGTTCCAGATGACGAGATTCGGAGGTGGAGAAAGCTGTAACCGATAAGCGGTTACATGAACCACCCTACGTCAGCGAGGAGTCCAGCAATCCTCTCGCACATAATTATCTCCAACAGGATTCGAACCAGCAAACCCACGCAGGCATCAGGACCTGACTCAGTAAATGAAACAGCGTGAAAGATATTTGTTTTTGTGACGAATCTGCTTGATATCCCTATGATAATGTGGTGAAACCAAAGGTTAGTTCATACCAATCAACAGTTTCTGTAACCTCCCATCTTTACTTCACATGATGCAATACAATTATTTATATCCAATATTTTTAAGGCAACGTTTACCACACTAGAAGTTATAAAGTAATACTAAACCTGTGGAAAAGAGAAACAATTTGATAGAAGAAAAGGAATTAATCATGGAGAAAACACTTCACACAGTGGATTGCTAAAAACAGACGAAAGATGATTTTTGAAGAAAATATATATTGGCAGTTGGCACTAATATTTCCAAACTTGAAAAAGCATTTGCTGAAGATTGTATGAGGAACAAGTTTGAGGTCAAGTTCTAACACGGAAGACGGCAAAACAAAACCCTCAAGCGACTGTCCAGCCTGCGAAACCTATTTATGTGGCTCTTAATAATAAAGACTTGGTAATTGGTATACAAGCTAGAGGTTCATCAAAACAAACGGTGCTATTGTGCAAAAAACGCCCAGCTACTAGTTACAATAGCATTGTGGATCAAATTTGGATTGGGTCAAAAATAACACGATTCTGTAAAATCAGTCATAAAAAGATCGCACCCGGGAATCATCTTGCAGATGAGCGGCACTTGGAAGCTGAACTTCGAGTTGGTAAAAACTAACAAGTTTTTCGATGGCCGCCATCGCATCACTAAAATTTAAAGTTTTGCCCCATTGCGATAACAATTGGTAGCTGAACGCCTCTGTTTTGATTGATACAAAATAAAGTAAATACCTTTACATTGGTATAAGTTAAATATAAAAATAAAGTATAAATAATAAATGAACATTGGTAAAAAGATGTGAGTAATCTCATTATAAGTAATACTGGACACTCACAAAAATGCCTAAATTCTAATATCATGTTCATAAATAAATCAAGGTAGTTGAGATGCAGTGGCAGGATTGAAAAATACTATCCAATGATTACTAAGGATTTAAAATTTACCACTTTGTCACATCTTGCAATAATCATGATTGGTGTAAAATAGCATGTGTTAGAATCTGGTGTACATCTCATGACATATCTATTGAAATAGAAACAGCAATACAAGAGGCCTAGATATTTCAAGATCCTCATTACTTTGGATGAACTTAAGCCATTGTTAATACCCTATTGTGTTTTTCTGTCTTGCCAAATTGAGTTTATGAAATGTCCTACAGTCTCTCCACACAAACGTGAATTGTTCCTGCCTCAATATGCAAAGCAATGCTTAGAAAATGAATAACCTTTGCAGGCCATTCCTCTGGAAGCCTTTTTCAGATTTTGTAGATAAGTTGCCATCCATTTTTTTGTCTGCAAAACACTGGTCTAAAGACTTGAGTGAGGTGTAGAAAATGTGAGGAAGACAGCCATATTGACAGCCCGAACAAGGACTTGCATTTAAAATCAAGATGCTAAAGTCTCTGATGCATTTGCATCAAGCAGTCGTGCTTTTAACAAGGGCATTTCTTTTTTCTTCCATCTTCTTCTGCAACCTCTTGGAAGATAACGACAAACATCCAAATTAAATTCTTGGATGTTTGAAAAACAGGTCAGCATTTCTAAAACCATTCCTGAGATGTTGGTATGGCACATGGAAAGAATAGAAATTGATTGCCAATACAGAATATCTGCACAGGAACATAGTCGTGCATTCAAATTATCATAATAATCGAGATGAATTTCTTTTAAGGATCCACTCAGATGAAGCAATAGAGCAGATAGACTTGATCCATAGAATCCTGATATGTCAAGAACTTCGATTTTAAGACAGTTCTCCAGAGAGGGGATCAAGCAGGCGACATCCATTCTACGATTACTCAAATTGACGTTCCTTATATTGCGACTTTTTGACATCATTAAAGCAAGCATTTGATTATCTGGTTCGTTAGCAGTACAATATTCATTAATGGATAAATCCAAATCTTCTAGCTCTGGAAATTCAACTTCCAGACAGCCTCTGGTATCCAAATGCATGTTCGTTAAGTGTAGCACCCTCAAATGTTTTAAACTTTTTATATTGGATATGTTGAAAGATCGTCCACATTCAATTTTAAGAATGTTAAGATTCCTCAAGTGGATGAGCGAAATTTGTATATCACGTGGAAATTCGGGATTGAATAATTCAAGATGTGTTAGTTGTTCGCCAGCTCCTAGAAAAATTGATTTAATCAAAAACCTTTAATAATGGAGTTACACGAAGATGGTTCAAATACAGGCCAAATATGTGGAAATTAAACAGGATATCTGAGCTGATTTACATATTTAAAATAAGATAAGACGGTCCAATCACATGGCGACACACAGCCTCTCGTCCGGTTACGAGTTCATGTCGGGTATGGAATTAGTTAGACAGTTATTTTGTTTATGGATGCATGGACTTGATGATGGATGAACCTGTAACCGACCAGTAGTCATGTGAACTACCCCCTGTGGTGGCGAGGAGCCTAGCAATCCTCTCGCACATAAAGTTTCCCCCTGTGAATTTGAACCTACAAGTCCTGAAATCCATGCATGGTAATCAGAGATGTGGTGGCGAGTGTAAAGGTATCCCTAACGCTTAGCACGATGCGCCATGCCATCTTATTAGTATATATGTATGATAAAAAAACATACAAAAACAAAAAAATCTCAAGACCTGACAAAATTTTCCTGATATCAGATGTAGGAATTGATGTGTGAGATATACAAAGTTGTTGGAGCGATGACGAATGTCGATCTGCTACAGTTTGTAGGCAATTCTTTGTTGAGATTGAACCACATCTATGAATTGAAAGTATTAGTATCTTTCTTGCATAATTCAAAACTGTTTTTATAAGAACTGGAGCAATCATGGTAAACCCACTGCATGTTAAACTTTCCACAGAACTAAAGTGAGCTTCTGCCATTAATTCAAATGACTTTATGTTCTTTTTGAATGCTTGTTGACTTTTCACCAAATATGGAGCAAAATGTAAATCTGACCATAAAAATGGTATATTAGCAGTATTTCTCCAATGTCTGCAAACCTTAGATAATCTTAGAAGGCAGGGTAACATTCCTGTATCCTGCTTTACTAGATATTCAAATATTTTTGCCAAAACTTCTGCAGGCAAATATGCCCATTCACTTTGGACTTGTTTTACATGTTTATGACATAATTGTGTTTCTCCAGTCTCAGGCTGTGATACAATCTCCCTCAAGTTCTTTCGACTTTTTTTCAGTGGTGGCATTTCATTGTTGTTTTCATCTAGCTGTATCTTTGTTTTATTCATGACTGTTGTGGTAGTATGACAGGTAGGAAAAATAAAACCTAATGCTGTAATGACCCGTAAAATCAGTTAGGACAGGATTTTAACATTTATCTCGGGGGCTGGGGGGAGAGGAAAGCCAATAAATTGGCAATTCACCAAAGAAAATTTTTTCACAGAGGCATTCAAGCGTTTTTAGCGAAAAACCCAGACAGGAGCAAATTATGGTTTTGTGGCGTCCGACGCAGATTGTTTTGATTGATTATAAATTATTATCGAGATGAGCATGGTGCTTTTCAACTAATATATCAGTATGTATCTATCTTTTGAGCAGTAGAGCAGATGGCTCTGTTAGAGATTTGGTCTCAAAGGGTCATTGCTCAGATTTTTTGGGCATAAAACGCATTGGAGTACAACTTCAAACTAAATTTTAGGCAAAACTAAAGGTGATAAACGTATGCTTTCTTGCGCTTCAATGTACTTTCTGCCTAAACGTTTACATAACACACGTAAAATTCCAATCGATTGTTTACTTCAGGAGTGTGCAAAGTGCGGCCCGCAAGGGAAAATTGTGCGGCCCGCGGGGACAACTGGAGAGCATTTAAAAAAATTAATATTAAAAAATACAGAAACTAAATAAGTTTTGGTTACAGCTTATTAGTTGTTTTTGTCTAAATCTAACCCAGAATACGGTTTGACAGCAAATTATTTGGAAATGAATCTTGGCGTATTTTACTGAAAACATCTCAACCAAGATAACTTTCACATTTCAAAAGGTTTCAAATATGGCACTTTTTTGTAACTCACTTTTTTCTAAAATGGGCGTCATATCGAATTGCTGGCACTTCAATTTAAGCAAATTTGGGTAAAAGTAGTCGGATATGACAAGATATTTGAATTACAGTTTTAAGAAATTCATGCGTTTAAACTCATCATTTCTGCAAGGACCCCCAATGATGACATGAGATCAACAACAAAAAGACTCGATTTTGGGCCTGCAACTAATAGAAAGCCTGTGTTAAATGAAGGTGCGGCCCGCTGTATTACCCGGTTATTGATAATTGGCCCGTCTGCGAAAAAGGTTGCACAACCCTGGTTTACTTCATCACTATTGTCTATTGCTGTATTGAGCTACGCAAAAATCCATTTACTGCATAGTGAAAATACACAGCGATTACAGACTTTTTTTTTTGCCAAATAAATTCCAATGCCAAACAGAATTTTTGTATTAATATTTTGGAATCGAATCATTTTAAATACGGTAGGCTACATAGTTTTTGTTTCCATGTTTTTGTTTTATCAATTTAAATAAATCCCATCCCCGCAATATATATCAATAGTAGAGTAAAATCCAAATAAATACAAAATTCATAGCCTTACCATTATGTCATTAATTTAAGGTAATATAATCCATAGCCTGCTACGCCTACGGTATATGTCCAAAGAAGTTGAGTTATTCCACATGTAATCCACTCAGCAGTTATATATAATTTTAATTTACAGATAATCAGTTTATTTTAGTTAGCATGAAAAATGGAATAAAAATACAAAAATTAGACAGGGAATATGGAAAAAATCACGCTTTTGTATTGGGTTTTTCCTATTCACCACCTACTGACCTATAGTCCATACACCATCTTCTTATGAAAATGATGTACCAATAATACAATTTCAATAATTTTCACAGTATGGTGTTGCATATCGCTGCTTGGCTTGCCTAACGTTTTCAAAATTCACTACCAAAACCTTCTGACTACCACTAGGTTTAAAATACAGTTTACAAAATGAAGAAGTGCAAATAAATTTACGTACATTTTCATCGCTAATTTATTGACAGTTATTATGCATGGACGTTTTCCCGACCCTTGACCCCAGAAAAATAAAATCGCTAAGACGTTTGGATTGCATTTTGCTGAAATCGCCGATTGTTTTCGTCAGCGTGACGTGTTATTTAGGTGGTAAACATCTTTATTTCGGTGTTTATTTTCCCTAAATCAGAAATTCTCTTCAACAGATGTTTTGTGCCGCGAAGACGATGATAATTACTTTTTTGTTCTCGCACGGAACCATGACACCTATCAGAAAAATGAGTTATTGGATACATACCGTGTTTCCCCGAAAATAAGACCTAGCCTGAATTTTATAAATGATTATAATACAAGCTCTCCCCTTAAACTAAGACCTAGCCAATACGCGATTTTTTTTTTGACCTAGTCGATATCACGAAATGTCTCCTACACGTTTTAAATGATTAATCCAAAACGCTTGAGAGAGGAAAACGTTGTATTTATAAGTAAACGGTTATCGGTTTTCATATTTTATATATTTAAAAACTTCGTAATTCTCTACTATGTATTTTTGTTTTTTTAAATGAAAATATAAGACATCCCTCGAAAATAAGCCCTAGTGGTATTTTTCGAAGGAAAATTGAAATAAGACCCGGTCTTATTTTCGGGGAAACACGGTGATGGACGTTTTGATATTGGACACGTCAGTGTACATAACGATCGTTTCAATATTACGTTGTTGTTCTTGTTATTAGTATTCTTCTCTTTCGTCATGATGAAATCGCTTTTTTCTACGAATACTGGACCGATTGCTTCGAAATTTTCAGTGGGTAAAGATTAATTTTTTTTTTGCCAGAAGGCTATTACTTTTACTTATTTCAAAAATTTCTGTGGACTACAAAAGATTCGTTTTTTATGTGTCAGAATAAAAATTAGCTACACTTTGTGACGTGTTGATATATTTGAGCACAGCTCTCTTGTTATGTTGTTGTTGTTCTTTGACATAGAATTTTATAGTTATGAAAACCGTTATGCTTATGCTTCAATATATGTATTTTTTTCTCTTTTTATTAATAAAAACATCACAATTATAAAGACTCCATGCCACAAATACAATTTCACTTTAAAAAAACGAGCTTATAATAGTTTTCCACTTCTCCTTACAGTTTATCATTTTCAGTTGCAATAGTTTTTTCACAGTTAATAATATTTTTTTTATCATATATGAAAATTGACAAAATTGAGGCCTTTCATTACGAAGTTTACATTTGTATATATATATAATATCTGGCACATAATAAAACACAATTTATACCTTGTTTTTTTTTACCCTACCCCCAATAAAAATTTCTTGGATCTTCTGAAGTATGCGCACCAAGAAGGCGCACAACCTGAACTCAGGTTGTGTACCAGGTTAGGGTTCAGGTTATGCGACATCCTGGTGCGCATACTTCGGGAGAACCAATTTCTCTATGTGTCAAATTAAACCTTTCGTTAGTTTTGTTGTTTTTCAACAACTAATACATTTGTTGTGATTTGCTTGCCCACATACCCACTAACTTATCAAACTGCTCGTTCGCTGACCACAACATGTAACACGCACGTTTTATGACCCTCGCTAGTTTAAGATTGTCTTGGCAAGTTTAGAAACAAGTAGGTTTAAAGTTTTTACAATGCAGATCAAAAATTGATCATGTTTGAAGACAAAATTTTGTACGAAAACCTAATTATTGATGAAAAAAAAATGGCCGTGGTTGGTAGTTATGGTTATGGAACAATGCTGGAATCGTTTGGTTTGCATTGCTTTGGTAATTTTGGGGAAGTAAATTTTCCCCTTATGCTGCTAAGAGGTCGTACAATACATCGAGGATTGCCTACAGCAGTTTATTTGAACAAATAAATTGAAGAAACACCTGGCTTACATGCATTTAGGCACATAATGCTTAGAATCAAAAAAATTATTTTTCAACTATTTTTAAATTTTGAAGAAAATTTGCGTCATTTGCTGAAAATCACTAAATGAGTTTTGTATTGCATTCACCAAGACAAGTATTGGAAGCATTATATTAAAATACAGCCTGGTATTCGAATGCGCCAGAGAGAAACACCTGCGTTACATGCAGGGAGGTGTCAAACTTTTATGCTACCCGGGCGAGTTTCTTATTTTAATGCCCCTCATACCTAACTTCAAAAATAATAAGAGGGTAAAACAAATTATAGATGTTGTTATACACGAGTGTGAATCAATCAAAAATCAATTAAGAGTGAAATATTTGTAATATTATTATTTCAATCATCTAACTAAGCAACAAACTCACCTATAAATCGTGCTTTCCTGGGCGGCTGCCCCCACCCTGCCCCTGGTTATATGTTACACGCAACTTCAGAAATGGCCCTTTCCCAATCCGATATTTCAAAGTTGTTTTTGATGATAATTTAATGTCTCATCTTGAAAAACACTCCAAGTTGTATTTAGAACGAAAAGTCGGACTTAGTTTGAAAGTTTGACAAAATGTGGAGTGGGTGGAATTGCATAAAACTCTTGGCGTTTATGCTTGAAAGCAAAGTATGAGTTGGAAAAATAAAAATATATATTATGGCAATAATAAATTTTTAACATTGTGAAATTTGAATAGGGTTGGCATTTCAAATCGAATAGTAAATGTTTGGAATCGCCGCCATCTTTTTTTGTTCACTAAAGATCTAGGTCGGTCATTGCGAGTGGTTTATTGATGAAACAGGTTTATTATTCTGTGTGAACACAAAACTAACTGGCTGAATGATGAAGTGTATGTTTTCGGCAATTCAATAAAAAAGTCGCATTCAATTACCAATCTTTCAAGTAATCGAGATTTGATTAGAAAAATATTCGATTTAATTCTAAAACCACTAGGTATTTGAAAATGCCCAGTTCGACTTGAGAACAAATGTTTATGGAATTATGATAAATCTGCTAAGCAACTGAGTGGAGGATTCGTATATTGGCGCGTATATCCGATGGTTTAACATGAGCCTAGTTTAACACAAATATATATATATATGTGCCACAGTAAAGATCAGTATCTGAAAAGATTTACATGAACGATGTTCGGAGAGTTTAGCAAACATCGAATGTGTATATTTTTTGATGTGCTGTCGTCCATGCATCGATTTTGAACTACATGCTGGTGCGGGTAATCGTTAGGAGAATCAATTGTATATAATCGTTATCAATGTCCCCATTTTCTCCAGACTGTCCAATAGATCTCAATCTAGCGATATTTGGACATTTCATATCAATAAAAAAATTAGTAGAAGCGGATTTT